TTTTCGATGTAACTTGAGGGAGATTAACTAAATCACAGACCATATGAAATTTTTTTAAGCGCTGATGAGGTTCTTCTAAAGGCAATCTATGAAAATTAGGGAGCATTTGAAAATTTTCTGGATTTATTTCGAATTTAATAGTGGGTGCTAATGGGACTCTAATATTAGATGGTCTTTGAAATGAATCAGGGATATAATGATTTTTCATGGCCATAGGATTGTTTTCAGTTTGACTTGTACTTCCTTTAGGATCCATCAAAATTAATTTTTTTTTCAGATTTTTATTTTGAAATGAAATAATGAAAGGATTTTCTAGCCTTAGATGCAAGTATCTTCTACCATACATAAAATCAATAAATGCGAGCAAAAAAAGTTAGTAACTAGTACCCTACTTCAGGATGCTCCAGTCCTTGCCTTGCTTCTTTTCGTTCCCTTTTTCTAATAAAAAATCAGCTAAAAGAAAATAAAACAAGAGTTAATTTTTTTTCTGTACTCTAAGAGAAAAATAGAAAAATACTAAATATTATGCAATATATCCCCAGCAACGGTGCCAAAATTTGACATGACTCAGTCATTGTATATTAAATCATGCAAATATAAATTTATAAAACTAGAAAATACGAATTTTTGAATATTTAAAAGTATTTTTAAATAAATATATCAATTATAATTCAATAAAACTTTCAAAAATAGCGGTAATTTTCCAGGTCAATCACAAGGATGTAATATAATATTTGGTAATTATTCAGAGTTTTTCTCAATGAATATGATTTTCTATGAATTTCATACTAGGAAATAAAAAAGAAATATATTTAAAATTCACAAAAAAAGGGAAATAAGGGTGCGGATGTTGGGATGATGTCAGTGCCTGGCGGACACGAATTGGGCAGAAATAGAGTTCCGCACGATGATTCTTGCATAAGTGATTACAGATGATTTAATTAATCAAATTAAGATCTGTAAAAGCTGGAAGAATCGTAATTGAACAAAATATATTTTGGTAACTTAAAAACACAAAAATTATCACTAAATGAAGGGTAAAGTAAATTGAAAGTAGGAAAACAGAGTTCTGGCATCGTGACGGTGATGCGTCGACGATGCACTGGAATCTTGAGCATTTGGGAGGATTGTCGTGTAGTGTCCACAGCCTTGAAGGCTCTCCTTGGACAAAGATGACGTGGGCAATCTCTAGATCTTCTTGCGAAGTCTAGAGATCAATGAAGTGGGTCGTCGAATCGTCTCTAGCAGCTGTCACCCGGCGGAGCGAAAAAATGGTGACTTTGCAGCTCTCTAGCGGCTGTCACCTAGCGGAGTAGAAAAACAACAACTTTGCGGCTCTCAACAGCTGTCACCTGACGGAGAGAAGCTAGATGGAGGTGGGGCACATGTCAAGGAGTTTCATCCTCAGGTCTGCACAGCAAGAGGAGGCTCTTCATTACATCTGGTACACCCTCAGGAGGTGGTGACTTATCTCTTGGCGGATCGTCCTCTTCCCGACGACAACTTGTTCGTCGATCAATCAAAGATGATTTACTCGATGAATTGCGATCCTTTTATCATAAATCGTTCAGAAATTTTAGTAGCAATGCTCCGCGAATCGCATTGACGAGATTTTTGCCGATGATCCAGCGATTCTTGTTGCTTAATCCTTCATCGGCAATTTGCAAGAAAGTCGCGATAATCAGATAAAAATATATGAATTTTGACTCTGAGAGGATTCGAACCCTTGCTGGTCGCCCACCTCTGAGGAAGGTGTGACGCGGGTTTAGTCCCACATTGGTTGTGCGCTGATTTTTCGAGCGAATATATAGTAATGTTAGCTTTATGAGCAAAGTCACTACTCTTGCGTGTATGACCACTCCTTGCCCCATAGCCAGCTGGCCACTGGTGACGTGGAAGGGGAGTGGCGCACATGTTCCTCTATCGGTCCAAGTCAAGTCGCTCGAGCCCTTGCTTGTGGCTACTCCCCGATTGCACTTTTGACCCAGTTGGGGGCCCAGCTGGCCGGCGGGTCTCTCTATTTTGCAATATTTTTATTTCTTGTTTTTTCATTTATCTCAAAAGTAAGATTAGAAAAATCGTATAAAATCATATAATTATCCAAAAATTCACGTTAATCAACTGAAAATCACAAATCATACTTTAACACAAATATAAGTCTATTTCTCAAGAGTTAAGGCTAAAATTATATTATTTACTAATTATTAATTCATAATAATGAAGACTTATTAGATAGTATTTACTTAATGTGAAAATTTAATTGATCATTTGAGTTTAATGAAAATTTTTGCACTCTGATCTATAGGACTTGTGAGGAGAAATCACTTATTTTGGAAAAAAAGAAAGAACAATGTGAAAAATCTAGAATGAAGAGTACACATGAAGGGTGTGAGACATCATTCTCATTGTCGAAAATTATGTATAGAAAAACACTTGCTGCAAAATAAGTGGATAAAGTGAAAGCCCTGAAAATGAAGAGTACACATGGAGGGTGTGAGACATCATTCTTATTGTCGAGATTTGTCTACAAGAAAAAATTACTTATCTACTATATATATATATAAAAAGAATGAAGAAATATAGTGTAAACTTCAAAACTCAATCCATCGAAAAAGGGAAAGGTAAGATCAATATTATTCTTGGATGAGTATTGATAATTGGAGCATCTTGTAAATATATCTATGAGTGAAGAAGTGATAAAGATGTGAATATAAGAAGTGAAGTCTACATTGTTATTCCAAAGAGTGCTTAAACATTTAAGTGCCTGACATCATTCTTAAATACCTGATATAAGAATCCAAAGTGTCTAAAGGTGCATCATTTCTAATTATTTTGTTTTTATCTATTGAAATATGATGTTTGAGATTTGTATATTTTTATTTTTATAATTTCATTGCTAAGGGACTAGCAATGATTTAAGTTGGGGATGTGATAAATCTTCATTATAGATTCTACCAAGGAAATTTTGAAAGAGAGGACAACCATTCCATTTCCTAAAGCTCTAGAGCCTAGACAAAGAAAGAAAAAGGAACACAATGAAGAAATAAAGAAAACTTTACAAGATGTGCAAATTAGTCTTCCTTTACTCACTACCATTGAACATATTCCTAAATATGCTAGAGTTTTGAAAGAAATGTGTACACCAAAAAGGATACCTAGAGTAGAAAAATTATCTATGCATGCTAGTGTATTATTATTAAATCAATTACCATATAAATTGAGAGATATAGGTGCCCCTTTAATTTCGTGTGATATTGGTGGATCCATTTTTCAGAATGCATTACTTGACACTGGTGCTAGTATTAATTTATTACCTGCAAGTATTTGTGATAAATTTAATATTTGTGATCTTAAACCTTCTACTATTTCCTTATAATTTGCTGATAGATCCATAAACCATCCTAAAGGTTTTTAGAAAATGTGATAGTGATAGTTAAAAGGTGTAAATTTCCAATTTATTTTGTAGTACTAGAAATAGATTTTAATGGACAGTTTTATGATACACCAATCATCCTAAGGAGATCATTTTTGCATACACCAAAGATGAAGATTTATTTTCCCACATGTATTGTGAAAATTTCATGTGGAGATCAATCAATAGAAATTAAAATTTTTGAGGTATCAAATAATCTTAAGAAATCCCAAGTATATGATTGTCATACCATAGATCTTTTAGATAATTTTGATGATCCAGATGTTATTGATGACTGTGTGTTAGAAGAATTAGTGGAAATAGAGAATATAAATTTGGAAGAAAAGAAAGAAGAAGATCATCTGAATTTAGAGTTGAAACCTCTTCCCTCTAGTTTAAAATATATGTTTTTGGAGGAAAATAATTCATTTCCTATTTTTATTACAACTGATTTGAGTGATGAATAGGAAAAAGAATTATTTGATGTACTTCGAAAAAATAAGAAGGCTATGGGCTGAAAAATGGACGATCTAAGGGGTATTGATATGAGTATATGCATGCATAGTATATATCTAGAGGAGGGGGCTAGAACTAGTAGGGAACCACAACGAAGATTAAATCCTAAAATGATAGAAATTATAAAAAAAGAAATTTTAAAATGGTTGGCTACTGATATTATTTATCCTATTTCAGATAGCAAATGGGTTAGTCCTACACAAGTAGTGCCAAAAACAATCAGGGATCACGATTATAAAAAATGAAAATGGGGATGAAATACAAATAAGATTAACTACCGGTTGGAGGATTTGCATTGATTATAGAAAATTAAATTCAGTTACTAAAAAAGATCATTTTCCCCTACCATTTACTGATCAAATTCTAGAAAAATTAGCTGGAAAAACTTTTTTGTTTTCTAGATGGATACTCTGGTTATAATCAAATTTATATAAACCCTTTAGATCAAGAAAAAATAACTTTCACTTGTCCATTTGGTACTTTTACTTTTAAACGAATGCCTTTTGGTCTATGTAATGCTCCAGCCACATTTCAAAGATGTATGCTGTCTATTTTTTTTGATATGATTGGAAAATGCATGGAAATTTTTATGAACGATTTTTCGATTTTTGGAGAATCATTTAATGAATGCTTAAATCATCTACAGCATGTACTTGAGAAATGCATAGAGAAAAAATTAGTTTTGAGTTGGGAGAAATCACATTTTATGGTTAAAGAGGGAGTTGTGTTGGGTCATATTGTGAGTGAAAAGGGTTTAGAGGTGGATAGAGCAAAAATTGATATTATATCTAAAATAAAACCTCCAAATTCAATAAAATAGATTAGATCTTTCTTGGGTCATGTAAGTTATTACAAAAAATTTGTTCAAGATTTTTCGAAAATTTCTGAACCTCTCACCATGCTATTATCTAAAGATGTGTCTTTTAATTTTGATGAGAAATGTTTTGAGTCTTTTTCTGAAATAAAAAGATTACTTACTGAGGTACCTATTTTACAAGCTCCTAATTGGTCCCTGATAAGTCTTCATTATCATGAGTTAATAATTAGTAAACAATATAGTTTTAGCCTTAACTCATGATAAATAGACTTATATTTGTGTTAAAGAATGATTTTTGGTTTTCAATTGATTAACGTGAATTTTTGGGTAATTATGTGATTTTATACGATTTTTACAGTCTTACTTTTGAGATAAATGAAGAACAAGAAATAAAAATAAAAATATTGCAAAAGTGGGGGGTCCTGCCGGCCAACCGGGCTCGCAAGTGGGTCGGAAGCGCAGTCGGCGAGTAAGCCGCGAGCAAGGGCTCGAGCGGCTTGGCTTGGGGACCGATAGGGCACGCGCGTTCACCACTCCCCTTCCACGTCACTGGTGGCGAGCCGGCTGTGGGGCAAGGAGTGGTCGTACACGCGAGAGAAGTGACTTTGCTCACAAAGCTAACATTACTATATATTTGCCCAAAAACTCGGCGTACAACCGATGTGGGACTAAACCCCCGTCACACCTTCCTCAGAAGAGGCGGGGCGACCGGCGCGGGTTTGAATCCTCCCAAAGTCAAAATTCATATATTTTTATTTGATTATCGCGACTTTCCTACGGATCGCCGGTGAAGGATTAAGCAACGAGAGTCGCTGGATCATCGGCGAAAATCTCATCAACGCAATTCGCGGAGCATTGCTACTAAAATTGCTGAACGATTCCAATTAAAAGGATCGCGAATCCATCGAGTAAATCATCTCCGATTGATCAACGAACAAGCCGTTGTCAGGAAGAGGACGATCCGCCAGGAGACCAGTCGCCACCTCTTGAGAGTGTACCAGATACGATGAAGAGCCTCCTCTTGCTGTGCGGACCTGAGGATGAAGCTCCCTAACACGCGCCCCACCTCCATCCAGCTCCTCTCTGTCGCGTGACAGCCGCCAGAAAGCCGCAAAGTCGCCGTTTTTCCGCTCCGCCGGGTGACAGCCGCTGAAGACAATTCGACGACCCACTTCATTGATCTCTAGACTTCGCGAGAAGATCTAGAGATTGCCCATGTCGTCTTTGTCCAAGGAGAGCCTTCGAGGCCGTGGACACTACACGACGATCCTCCCGAACGCTCAAGATTCCGGTGCATCGCTGACGCATCGCCGTCGCGAAACTGGAACTCTATTTTCCTACTTTCAGTTTAATTTACGCTTCATTTAGTGATACTTTGTATGATTTTAATTTACCAAACTATACTTCGTTCAATTCCGATTCTTTCGGCTTTTACAGATCTTAATTTGATTAATTAAGTCGTTTGTAATCGCTTACGTAAGAATCGCCGGACGGAACTCTGTTTCCGCCTGATTCGTGTTTGCTGGGCGCTGATGTCATCCTAACGTCCGCACCCTTATTTCCTTTTTTTCGTGAATTTTAAATATATTTCCTTTTTATTTCCTAGTATGAAATTCGTAAGAAAATTGTATTTGTTGAGAAAAATTCTGAATAATTACCAGATATTATATTACATCCCTGTGATTCACCTGGAAAATTACCGCTATTTTTGGAATTTTTATTGAATTATAATTGATATATTTATTTAGAAATACTTCTAAAAATCCGAAAAAATTTGTATTTTCTAGTTTTATAAATTTTATATTTGCGTGATTTAATATACAACGACTGAGTCACGTCAAATTTTGGCGCCGTTGCTGGGGATGTATTGCATAATATTTAGTATTTTTCTATTTTTCTCTTAGAGTACACAAAAAAAAAAACTTTACTCTTGTTTTATTTTCTTTTTGCCGATTTTTATTAGAAAAAGGGAACGAAAAGAAGCACGGCAAGGACTGGAGCATCCTGAAGGAGGGTAACAGTTACTAACTTTTTCCCTCGAATTTATTGATTTTTATGCATGGTAGAAGATCCTTGCATCCAAGGCTAGAAAATCCTTTCATTATTTCATTCAAAAATAAAAATCCAAAAGAAAAATTAATTTTGATGGATCCTGAAGGAAGTACAGGTCAAACTGAGAACAATCCTATGGCCATGAAAAATCATTATATCCCTGATTCATTTCAAAGAGCATCCAATATTAGAGTCCCATTAGCACCCACTGTTAAATTCGAAATAAATCCAGGAATTTTTCAAATGCTCCCTAATTTTCATGGATTGCCTTTAGAGGAACCTCATCAGCACTTGGAAAAATTTCATATGGTCTGTGATTTAGTTAATCTCCCTCAAGTTACACCGGAAATTATTAAGATGAAATTATTCCCTCATACACTTAGGGACAAAGCTAGTCATTGGCTATCCACATTAGATAGAGAATTAACTAGCTGGAAAGATATAGAACAGGCCTTTCTTCGAAAATTTTATCCCTTAGGAAAAACTCAAAATATGAGAAAACATATATGGAGTTTTTCTCAAAGACCAGGAGAAACTTTGCATGAGACATAGGAAAAATTCAAAGATTTACTTAGAAAGTGTCCTCATCATGCTATACCCAAGTGGCAGCTCAATAGAATTTTTTATGATGGATTATTAGAACAACATAGAAATATGGTTGATTCTATATGTGGAGGAGCTTTTATGGAGAAAACTCCTGATGAGATTTACAATCTTTATGAGAATTTAAGTGAAAATTCTAGAGATCAAGCCTCTTTTGAATTATATGACAAGGAAATGAAGAGAGAAATTTATGAATTGTATCATGATGATAATTCTAAACTTAGAAATGAGGTTAATCAGATTAATCAAATATTAGAAAAACTTGATTTACTTATTGACAATATTACAAAGCCTCTTAACCCTCAACTTAATTCAAAAAGTACACGTCATATGTATGGTGAAAATGATCATTTCGAATTTCAATATCATCCTAGGCAAGAACAAGTGCAAGTACCTCACGATTTTAGTAAAAATTGGAAATATTTTTCTAATTCCTATAATCCTAATTGGGGGAATAATTTTTCGTGGAGAAACCCAAATAATATTCAAAATCCAGAAGCACTTAGACCCAATTCAAACTCTGAATTTCATCCAAAACAAGAAAATAGATTTCAGAAAAATCAGCCCTCTCAAACCCAACCTGATGTTATGGAAATGATGCAGCAAATGAGCCAAATGATGCAACAAACTATGAATCAAATGATGCAACAAATTATGAATCAAATGATGCTTCATCAGAAACAAATTATAGAGGCTCTTGAGAATAAGAGAGAAGAGGGATAGCTACCTCGTCAGCCCATAGAAAATTCAGAAAACTGTCCAACAGTAAGATTTCAACAAGAAGAGTCTAGCTGGATAAATTTTAAAAAAAACCCACGAAATGAAAATGTTAGGACAGTGAATATATTGAGTGAAAATATTTTACCTGATCCTTATTTCTAATTATTAGAAGAAATTGATGATCCATTAGAAGTAAATGAGAATATTAAGGCCAAAAATGTAGTAGTAGAAAATTTGAATAAAATCATTTATTGCTCACAATTGATGAATGAATATAGTGAGGATGATGAGGAGAAAGAACCCTTAGATGAAGAAACAGCAACTGATCATAGAAAAATCATCCAAATTTTAGTAGAAGGGAGTAAGGACAGAAATGAAGAAAAATATATTTGAAGTGAGGAAAAATCAATTGATTTAGGAGATGTAAGAGACGAAATTAATGAATCTAATCATAATTTTGCAGCCATGGATGTTGATTGTGAGGATGATGATGTATATCATATACCAAAATTTAAAGATAGCTCTTGGGAAGATGAAGAATTTGATGAGTTGAGAAACGAAAAGCTAGAAAAAGAATTGATTGAACTAATGGGAACAAGCGAAAATAATAGATATGAATATAGAGATAATTTTGGAGGAGAAAATTTGAATTTTACTGAATTCATTAGATCTGAGATTAAAGAAGACAATCCTTCCATCCTTCAAAACCCACAGCCCATTAGAATTATTTCTAAGCTTGAAAATTTTCACTCCTCGCAAATTGAACAAATATGTATGGAAGATAAAATGGAGCAGGGGAAGATTATGCAGATAAAAGAAAACATTAAGAAATGGGTGAGTGGAAAAATTAGAGATACCAATTTAGATGAAAAAAATTTAGATTGGGAAAAAGCTAATCTGAAAATTATATGGCCTGATCACATTTTATGGTTTATTAATAGAAAGTATTTATTAATGAATGAGAGCCTAACAAAACAAGATAGAAATAAGGAAAGATTCTTTTCAAAATGGAAATATTATTTTTGGGAAAAAATTGTTAATTTCCATTTTTTTTTGGTGAAAGTATGTCAAGGTATATATATGAAGTATATGAATTTATGCTAAATCTGAAAAAGAATATCATGAAACTTACCTTGGGATACAAATATATTTTGATGGCCATAGATCATCTTATATGATAGAAGAGCTGTCCAGCTGGAGACATTAAATTCAGCGCTGCATGGGAGGCAACCCATGGTTTTATTTCATTCTGTTTGAATTTTTTTAAGCTCTGTTTTTCTTAGAATTTCGTAGTACTTGTTTTTGTATTTGTTTTTCTTTCAAAAAAGTGCAGGAGGAGGAGTGTAAGATGAAGTGGAAAATTAAAAACGAGGTTGAGGTGATGTCTTTCAGAGCTTCATCATTTATGAAAATATTTTTAATGCTTAACTTTGCAGATATGCATGCTTCACTTGAAAATTATATTTTCTGCATATTCTATTTTGAGTGTTCTGTGTCATTGAGGACAATGTCATTTTTTAAGTTGGGGGGTGAAGTATTCATTATTAATTTATGCTGTAGGACGACTAAGAACATGTGTTTGCATTTTATTCAACTTAGAACAGCAACTTAAAAAAAAAAAAAAAAAAAAATTTGGAAAAATTGCAACATCTATTTTCTGGTTTTCTGTCAGAAACAACAAACTGTCAAAAACAGCAGACAAAAAACAGCCCGAAATTTGAAATTCTAGAAGACCTTTTCTCACATTTCAATCCCCTAGATATATATTACTGAAATTCGAAATTACAGCTATAAAGAAGATAGTTTTGATTTATTTTTGACAAATTTATTGCTGCTAAAAATAGAACTGAAAACAGAAAACGGAATTGTCAGAACTATCTAATTTACAAATTCCTTACATCATATTACATGCATGAAAAATTAAATCAATTAGATTGATTGATACCAAAAGATACTAGGAAGATTATTATTGAGTCAAAAGAATGATCTAGTAGCATAAAATGTTGGAATACTCCTTGGATACATGATAGATAACATGGATTTGATTTTACAGATTTTCACTTCATGATCTTGATGGATAGTACTTAATTGATGTGAAAATTTGATTGATCATTTGAGTTTAATGGAGATTTTTGCACCCTGATCTATAAGACTTGTGAGGAGAAATCACTTATTTTGAAAAAAAAAAAGAGAGTAAGGTGAAAAATCTAGAAATGAAGAGTACACATGGAGGGTGTGAGACATCATTCTCATTGTCGAAAATCGTGCATAGAAAAACACTTGCTGAAAAATAAGTGGATAAAGTGAAAGCCCTGAAAATGAAGAGTACACATGGAGGGTGTGAGACATCATTCTTATTGTCGAAATTTGTCTACAGGAAAAGCTACTTATCCACTATATATATAAAAAAAAAAAAAGAAGGAAGAAATATAGTGCAAACTTCAAAAATCAAGTCATAGAAAAAGGGAAATGTAAGATCAACATTATTCTTGGATGAGTATTGATAATTGGAACATCTTGTAAATACATCTATGAGTGAAGAAGTGATAAAGATGTGAATAGAAGAAGTGAAGTCTAGATTGTTATTCCAAGGAGTGTTTAAACATTTAAGTGCTTGGCATCATTCTTAAATACTTGATATAAGAATCCAAAGTGTTTAACGGTGCATCATTTCTAATTATTATTTTTTTCTGTATTGAAATATGATGTTTGAGATTTGTAAAATTTTATTTTCGTAATTCCATTGCTAAGGGACTAGCAATGATTTAAGTTGGGGGGTGTGATAAGTCTTCATTATCATGAGTTAATAATTAGTAAATAATATAGTTTTAGCCTTAACTCATGATAAATAGACTTATATTTGTGTTAAAGAATGATTTTTGGTTTTCAATTGATTAACGTGAATTTTTGGGTAATTATGTGATTTTATACAATTTTTACAGTCTTACTTTTGAGATAAATGAAGAACAAGAAATAAAAATAAAAATATTGCAAAAATGGGGGGACACGCCGGCCAGCCGTGCCTGCAAGTGGGTCGGAAGCGCAGTCGGGGAGTAAGCCGCGAGTAGGGGCTCGAGCGGCTTGGCTTGGGGACTGACAGGGCACACATATGCCACTCCCCTTCCACGTCACCGGTGGCCAGCTGGTTGTGGGGCAAGGAGTGGTCATACACGCGAGAGAAGGGACTTTGCTCACAAAGCTAACATTACTATATATTCGCCCGAAAAATCAGCGTACAACCAATGTGGGACTAAACCCCCGTCACACCTTCCTCAGAAGAGGCAGGGCAACCGGCACGGGTTCGAATCCTTCCAAAGTCAAAATTCATATATTTTTATTTGATTATCGCGACTTTCCTGCAGATCGCCGGTGAAGGATTCAGCAATGAGAATCGCTGGATCATCGGCGAAAATCTCATCAACGCGATTCGCGGAGCATTGCTACTAAAATTGCTGAACGATTCACGATAAAAGGATTGTGAATCCATCGAGTAAATCATCTCCGATTGATCGACGAACAAGCCGTCGTCGGGAAGAGGACAATCCGCCAGGAGACCAGTCGCCACCTCTTGAGAGCGTACCAGATGCGATGAAGAGCCTCCTCTTGCTGCGCGGACCTGAGGATGAAGCTCCCTAACATGCGCCCCACCTCCATCCAGCTCCTCTCCATCGAGTGACAGCTGCCGGAGAGCCGCAAAGTCGCCGTTTTTCCGCTCCGCCTAGTGACAGCCACCGGAGATGATTTGATGACCCACTTCATTGATCTCTAGACTTTAGCGAGAAGATCTAGAGATTGCCCATGTCGTCTTTGTCCAAGGAGAGCCTTCGACGATCCTCCCGAATGCTTAGGATTCCGGTGCATCGCCGATGCTTTGCCGTCGTGGCGCCGGAACTCTATTTTCCTGCTTTCAATTTAATTTACGCTTCATTTAGTGATACTTTGTTGATTTTAATTTACCAAACTATACTTTGTTCAATTCCGATTCTTCTGGCTTTTACAGATCTTAATTTGATTAATTAAGTCGTCTATAATCGCTTACGTAAGAATCGCCGGACGGAACTCTATTTCCGCCTGATTCGCGTTCGTCGGGCGCTGACGTCATCCTAACGTCCGTACCCTTATTTCCTTTTTTTCGTAAATTTTAAATATATTTCCTTTTTATTTCCTAGTATAAAATTCGTAAAAAAATCGTACTCATTGAGAAAAATTCTGAATAATTACCAGATATTATATTACATCCTTGTGATCAACCTGGAAAATTACCGCTATTTTTGGAATTTTTATTGAATTATAATTGATATATTTATTTAGAAATACTTCTAAATATCTGAAAATTCGTATTTTCTAGTTTTATAAATTTTCTATTTGCATGATTTAATATACAACGACTGAGTCACGTCAGTCCCTTTCCTTTGAAATAATGTGTGATGCATCGAATTATGTAGTGGAGGCTGTTCTAGGACAAACAAAAGTGTCAAAACCCATAATAGTTTCATATGCTAGTAAAACTATATCCAATGCTCAATTAAATTATACCATGACTGAAAAAGAGTTGTTAGTTGTAGTATTTTCGTTAGAAAGGTTTAGATCATATATTTTATGAACTAAAATTATTATTTATACTGATCATACAACATTAAAATATCTGTTAAATAAGAAAGATGCAAAGCCACATTTATTAAGATGGATTTTACTGTTGCAAGAATTTGACTTAGAAATAAAAGATAAAAAAGGTTTTGAGAATGTTGTTGCTGACCATCTTTCTAGATTAAGTGATATAAGAATAAATGCAGCACCTTTACAAGACGCATTTCCAAATGAATAATTGATGGCAGCTCAACATCAACCATCACCATGGTATGCACATATTGTTAATTTTCTAGTTTCTAGAAAAACTCCAGAATAATGAGATAAGAATAGAAAACATCATTTCTTTTCTAAGATTATAAATTACTTTGGACATGATCCTGATTTATATTACTTGGGCAATGATCAAATTTTAAGGAGATGCATTCCTAAAGAAGAATATCATAGCATTATTAACATGTGTCATTCATTTAACTATGGAGGACATTTCTCTGGACAAAAAACAGCTGTAAAAATTTTTCAGTATGGTTTTTATTGGCCTACAATCATTAGAGATTCTATAGAATTTAGTAGAACATGTATTTCATGCCAATCTATAGGTAACATGAGTAAAAAAGATGAAATGCCCATGAGTAACATGTTAGTAGTCGAAATTTTTGATGTATGGGGAATAGATTTCATGGGTCCCTTCCCATCAGCTGAAAAATATGAATATATTTTGCTTGCTGTTGATTATGTGTCGAAGTGGTGAAAGCTATTCCTACTAAAACTAATGATCATAAAATCATGATGAAATTTATGCAGGAATTTTTTTTTTCGAGATTTGGATGTCCTAAAGTGGGAGGAACACATTTTACAAATAAACATTTCAGGGAACTGTTGAAAAAGAATGGAGTAGATCATAGAGTAGCCACTCTATATCGTCCCCAAACAAATGGGTAAGCTGAAGTAGCAAATAGGGAAATTTAGAGAATTTTGAGAAATATAGTTGAACTAGATAGGAAAGATTGACCCATGAAATTACAAGATGCATTATGGGCTTATAGAACAACTTATAAAAATCCCATAGGTATGTCCCCATTTCGTCTTATTTTTGGAAAGCCATGTCATCTTCCTATGGAAATAGAGCATAAAGTATTATGGGTTAAAAAAATATTATGTATGGATGAAAAATCAGTTGGTGGGCATAGAATTTTTCAGCTACATGAACTAGAGGAGTTGAGGAATGAAGCTTATGAAAATCATAGAATATATAAAGAAAAAACTAAAACTTTTCATGATAAATATATTAGCAGAAAAAAATTTGATGTTGGACAAAAAGTGTGGTTATATGATTCTAGGCTGAAATTATTCTGAGGAAAATTAAAATAAAAATGTAAAGGGTCTTATGTGGTGGAAGAGACATATGACCATGGGGCTATAATGATGAAAGATCCTCAAAGTGATCATAACTTTAAGGTAAATGGACAACAACTTAAACATTAAATAGAACATGAACGCCTTACAGAAAAAAATAAATTATTATTAAAAGAAATTCAAGAGTAAGATCAAGGAGTCCAGCTAGAGACATTAAATTCGGCGCTGCATGGGAGGCAACCCATGTTTTTTATTTCATTCTGTTTGATTTTTTTATTTTTTTAAGCTCTATTTTTCTTAAAATTTCGTAGTACTTATTTCTATATTTATTTCTTTTTTGAAAAAGTGCAGGAGGAGGAGTGTGAGATGAAGTGGAAAATTAAAAACAAGGTTGAGGTGATGTCTTTCTGAGCTTTATTATTTATGAAAATATTTTTAATACTTAACTTTGCACATATGCATGCTTCACATGAAAATTATATTTTCTGGATATTCTGTTTCGATTTTTCTATGTCATTGAGGACAATGTTATTTTTAAGTTGGGGGTGAAGTACTCATTATTTATTTATGCTGTAAGATGATTAAGAACATGTGTTTGCATTTTATTCAACTTAGAACAGCAACTAAAAAATAAAAATAAAATAAAATTCAGTAAAACTACAACATCTATTTTCTGATTTTCTGTCAGGAACAACAGACTGTCAAAAATAGCAGACGAAAAAACAACCCAAAATTTGAAATTCTAGAGACCCTTTTCTCACATTTCAATCCCCTAGACATATATTACTAAAATTCGAAATTACAGTTATCAAGAGGATAGTTTTGATTTATTTTTGACAAATTTATTACTACTAAAAATAGAACTAAAAATAGAAAATAGATCTGTCAGAACTATTTAATTTACAAATCTCTTACATCATATTGCATGTATGAAATATTAAATCAATTAGATTGATTGATACCAAAAGATACTAGAAAGATTATTTATTGAGTCAAAAGAATGATCTAGTAGCATGAAATGTTGGAATACTCCTTGGATCTATGATAGATAACACGAATTTGATTTTATAAATTTTCACTTCATGATCTTGATGGATAGTATTTACTTAATGTGAAAATTTGATTGATCATTTGAGTTTAATGGAGATTTTTGCACCTTGATCTATAGGACTTGCGAAGAGAAATCACTTATTTCAAAAAAAAGAAAAGAAAAAGTAATGTGAAAAATCTAGAAATGAAGAGTACACATGGAGAGTGTGAGACATCATTCTCATTGTCAAAAATCATGCATAGAAAAACACTTGCTAAAAAATAAGTGGATAAAGTGAAAGCCCTGAAAATGAAGAGTACACATGGAGGGTGTGAGACATCATTCTTATTGTTGAAATTTGTCTATAGGAAAAGCTACTTATCCACTATATATAAAAAAAAAGAAAGAAAAAAGAATGAAGAAATATAGTGCAAACTTCAAAAATTAGGCCATAGAAAAAGAGAAATGTAGGATCAGTATTATTCTTGGATGAGTATTAATAATTGAAACATCTTGTAAATACATCTATGGGTGAAGAAGTGATAAAGATGTGAATAGAAGAAGTGAAGTCTAGATTGTTATTCCAAGGAGTGTTTAAACATTTAAGTGCTTGACATCATTCTTAAATACTTGATATAAGAATCCAAAGTGTTTAAAGATACATCATTTCTAATTATATTTTTTTTTCTAAATTGAAATATGATGTTTGAGATTTGTAAAATTTTATTTTCGTAATTCCATTGCTAAGGGACTAGTAATGATTTAAGTTGGGGGGTGTGATAAGTCTTCATTATCATTAGTTAATAATTAGTAAATAATATAGTTTTCACCTTAACTCATGATAAATAGACTTATATTTGAGTTAAAGTGCGAAAAGTAGTTTTCAGTTGATTAACGTGAATTTTTAGGTAATTATTTAATTTAATATAATTTTTATAATCTTACTTTTGAGATAAATAAAGAACAAGAAATAAAAATAAAAATATTACAAAATGGAGGGATCCGCCGGCTAGCCAAGCCTACAAGTGGGTTGGAAGCTTAGTCAGGGAGTAGTCACGAGCAGGCACTCAAGCGGCTTAGACCAATATGGGCACCTATGCACCACTCCCTTTCCACATCACTGGTGGCCAGCCGGCTGTGGGGCAAGGATTGGTCATACACGTGAGAGAAGGGACTTTGCTTAGAAATCTAACATTACTATATATTCATTCGAAAAATCGGTACACAATTGATGTGGGACTAAACCTGTGGTACACCTTCCTCAGAAGAGGGGGGCGACTGGCACGGGTTCGAGTCCTTCTAGAGTCAAAAGTCATATATTTTTATCTGATTATCATGACTTTCCTACAAATCGCTGGTGAAGGATTAAGCAACAGGAGTCATTGGATCATCGATGAAAATTTTGTCAACGCGATTCGCAGAGCATTGCTACAAAAATTGCTGAAGGATTTGCGATAAAAGGATCACGAATCCATCGAGTAAATCATCTCTGATTGATCGACAAACAAGTCATTGTTGGGAAGAGGATGATCCGCCAAAAGACGAGTCGCCACCTCCTGAGAGCATACCGGATGCACGTGGACCTGAGGATGAAGCTCCTTAACACACACCCCACCTCCATCTAGCTTCTCTCCAGTGGGTGACAACCACTGGAGAGCTGCAAAGCTGCCATTTTCCTACTCCGTCAAGTGATAGTCATCGGAGACGATTCGATGACCCACTTCATTGATCTCTAGACTTCGCAAGGAGATCTAGGGATTACCTATGTCGTTTTTATCTAAGGAGAACCTTTGAGGCTGTGGACACTACACGACGATCTTCCCGAACGCCCAGGATTTTTGTGCATCGCTGACGCATTGCCGTTGCAATGCCGAAACTCTGTTTTTCTGCTTTCAACTTACTTTACGCTTCATTTAGTGATAGTTTTTGTGATTTTAATTTACCAAAATATACTTTGTTCTATTACGATTCTTCTAGCTTTTACATATCTTAATTTGATCAATTAAATCGTCTGTAATTACTTATGTAAGAATTGTTGGGTAAAACTCTGTTTCCACCCGATTCGTGTTTGCTAGGCACTGACGTCATCCTAGCGTCTGCACCCTTATTTCACTTTTTCGTGAATTTTAAATATATTTCCTTTTCATTTCCTAGTATAAAATTCATAGAAAATCATATTCATTGAGAAATTTTTTGAATAATTACCAGATATTATATTACATCCTTGTGATTGACTTGGAAAATTACCATTATTTTTGGAAGTTTTATTGAATTAGAATTAATATATTTATTCAGAAATACTTCTAAATATCCAAAAATTCTTTTTTTCTAGTTTTATAAATTTTAGATTTACATGATTTAATATACAACGACTAAGTCACATCACCCGCTTGCCAACCGGGCCCGTAGCTAGGTTGGAAGTGTAGTCGAGGAAGAGCCACGAGTAGGGACTTGAGCAACTAGGACCGATAGGGGCACATGTGCACCACTCCCCTTCCATGTCACTAGTGGCCAGTTAGTTGTGGGGCAAGGAGTAGGCGTACATGCACAAAAAAGAGACTTGATTGTAAATATAATATTATTATATATTTGCTAGAAACTTTAGTGCACAAGTGATGTGAGTCTAAACTCACCTCACACCCTCCTTAGAAAGGGCAGGCAGTCAACGCGGGTTTGAATCCTCCTAGAGCCAAAACTCATATTTTTATTTGATTATCGCGACATTCCTACAAATCATCAATGAAGGATTAAGCAACCAGAATCGCTACATCATCGACAAAAATCTTGTCAGCATGATTCGTGGAGTATTGTTACTAAAATTGTTAAACAATTCGCAATAAAAGGATCGTGAATCCATCGAGTAAAGCATCTCTAATTGATCGACGAACAAGTCATTGTCAGGAAGAAGATAATCCATCAGGAGATGAGTTGCAACCTCTTGAGAGTGTACCAAATGTGATGAAGAGCCTCCTCTTGCTGCGCAAACTTGAGAATGAAGCTCCTTAACACACACCCCATCTCCATCTAGCTTCTCTCCATCAGGTGATAGGCCCTAGAGAGCCGCAAAGTCGTCATTTTTCTGCTCCACCAGGTGACAGTCACTGGAGACAATTTGACAACCCATTTTATTGATCTCTAGACTTCACAAGGAGATCTAGAGATTGCCCACATCATCTTTGTCCAATGAGAGCTTTGAAGCCATGGACATTACATGATAATCCTCCCGAACACTTAGGATTTTGGTGCATCACTGACGCATCACGGCCGCGAAGCCAGAACTCTATTTTCCTACTTTCAACTTATTTTTTACTTCATTTAGTGATAATTTGTTTGATTTTAAATTTATCAAGATATACTTCATTCCATTACGATTCTTCCGGCTTTTGCAGATCTTAATTTAATCAATTAAATCATCCGTAATCACTTACGTAAGAATCACTGGGTGGAACTCTATTTTTGCCCGATTTGCACTCGCTAGGTACTGACGTCATCTTGATGTTTGCACTCTTATTTCCCTTTTTTGTAAATTTTCAATATATTTCTTTTTCATTTCCTAGTATAAAATTTATAGAAAATAGCATTCTTTGAGAAAAATTATAAATAATTATCAGATATTATGTTACATCCTTGTGGCCAACTTGGAAAATTATCGTTATTTTTGAAAGTTTTATTGAATTATAATTGATATATTTATTTAGAAATACTTCTAAATATTTAAAAATTCATATTTTCTAGTTTTATAAATTTTAAATTTATGTGATTTAATATACAATGACTAGGTCATGTTAGTGATCAAGCCATATAATTATCAAATTAGCTCTTACTCAATGTAGAACTTTTTTATCTAAATTGATATCTCTAATTCTTTCACTCAACTTTTCTTAATATCTTCTTTTATCTGCATAATCTTCCCCTACTCCATTTTATCTTCCATACATATTTGTTCAATTTGTGAGGAGTGAAATATTTCAAGCTTAGAAATAATTCTAATGGGCTGTGCGTTTTGAAGGATGGAAGGATTATCTTCATTAATCTTAGATCTAATGAATTTAGTAAAATTCAAAATTTCTCCTCCAAAATTATTTCTATATTCATATTCATTATTTTTGTTTCTCCCCATTAGTTGAATCAACTCTTTTTCTAGCTTTTTTTTTCTCAACTCATCAAATTCTTCATCTTCCCAAGAGCTATCTTTTAATTTTTATATATGATATACATCATCATCCTCACTATCCACATCCATGGCTACAAAATTATGATTAGATTTATTAATTTCGTCTTCTACATCTCTCAAATCAACTGATTTTTCCTCACTTAAAATATATTTTTCTTTATTTCTGTCCTTACTCCCTTCTACTACAATTTAGATAATTTTTCCATGATCAGCTACTATTTCTTCATCTAAAGGCTCTTTCTCCTCATCATCTTCACTATATTCATTCATCAATTGTGAGCAATAAATGATTTTATTCAAATTTTATACTATTATATTTTCACTCTTAATATTCTCATTTACTTTTAATGGCTTATCGATTTCTTCTAATAATTAGAAATAAGAATCAAGTAAAATATTCTCACTCAATGTATTCACTTTCCTAACATTTTCATTTCGTAGGTTTTTTCTTAAATTTATCTAGCTAGACTCTTCTTATTGAAATCCTACTATTGGATAATTTTTTGAATTTTTTATAGGCTGATTGGGTGGCTGTCCCTCTTCTCTCTTATTCTTAAAAGCCTCTAAAATTTGTTTCTGGTGCAACATCATTTGATTTATAATTTTTTGCATCAGTTGACTCATTTGCTGCATCATTTCCAAAGCATCAGGTTGGATTTGAGAGGGTTGATTTTTCTGAAATCTATATTTCTATTTTGGATGAAATTCAAAATTTGAATTGGATATAAGTGCTTCTGGATTTTAAATATTATTTGAGTTTCTCCACAAAAAGTTATTCCCCCAATTAAGATTATAAGAATTAAAAAATTCTCTATTTTTACTAAAATCATGGGTTACTTGCACTTACTCTTACCTAGGATGAAATGATTGATCTAAATTATAACATTGAAATTCGAAATGATCATTTTCACAGTACATAGGACATGTACTATATGCATTCAATTGAAGGTTAGGAGACTTTGTAATATTCTCAATAAGTAAATCAAGTTTTTCTAATCTTTGATTAATCTAATTAATCTTATTTCTTACATTAGAATCATCATCATGATGCAATTCATAAATTTCTCTCTTTTTATCCTTGTCATATAATTCAAAAGAGGCTTGATCTCTAGAATTTTCACTTAAATTCTCATAAAGACTATAAATCTCATCAGAGATTTTCTCCATAAAAGCTCTTCCATATATAGAATCAACCATGTTTCTATGTTGTTCTAATAATTCAGCATAAAAAATTCTATTGAGTTGTCACTTGGGTGTAGCATAATGAAGACACTTTCTAAGTAAATCTTTAAATTTTTCTCATCTCTCATATAAAGTTTCTCCTGATCTTTGAGAAAAACTCTATATATGTTTTCTCATATTTTAAGTTGTTATTAAGAGATAAAATTTTCGAAGAAAAGCTTATTCTATGTCTTTCTAGCTAGTTAATTCTCTATCTAATGTAGATAGCTAATGACTAGCTTTGTCCTTAAGTGTATGAGGAAATAATTTTATCTTAATAATTTATAATGTAACTTGAGGGAGATTAATTAAATCATAGACCACATGAAATTTTTCTAAATACTAATGAGGTTCTTCTAAAAGCAATCCATGAAAACAAGGAGTATTTGAAAAATTCTTTGATTTATTTCAAATTTATTAGAGGGTGCTAATGTGACTCTAATATTAGATGCTCTTTGAAATGAATTAGGGATATAATGATTTTTCATGGCCATAGGATTGTTCTCAATTTGACCTATACTTCCTTCAGGATCTATCAAAATTAATTTTTCTTTTGAATTTTTAGTTTTGAATGAAATAATGAAAGGATTTTCTAGCCTTGGATGTAAGGATCTCCTACCATCCATAAAAATCAATAAATTTGAGGAAAAAAGTTTAATAATTATTACCCTCCTTCAGTATGTTCCAATCCTTGCCTTGTTTTTCTTTGTTCCCACTTTTCCTTTTGGCAAGAAGAAAATAAAATAAGAGTTAATTTTTTTTGTGTGTACTCTAAGAGAAAAGTAGAAAAATACTAAATATTATGCAATACATCCTCAGCAACAACATCAAAATTTGACGTGACTTAGTCGTTGTATAGTAAATCACGTAAATTTAAAATTTATAAAGGTAGAAACTACTAATTTTCAGATATTTAGAAATATTTATGAACAAATATATCAATTATATTTTAATAAAACTTTCAAAAATAGTGATAATTTTTCAGTCGATCATAGGGATGTAATATAATATTGTGTAATTATTCAAAATTTTCTTTAAAGAATATGATTTTTTATGAATATTATACTAAGAAATGAAAATAAAATATATTTAAAATTTACAAAAAAAGGAAATAATGGTGTGGACATCAAGATTACATCAATACTTGACAAACGCGAATCGGGTGGAAATCGAGTTCTACCTAGTGATTCTTACGTAAGTGATTATAGACAATTTAACTGATCAAATTATGATTTGTAAAAGTCAGAAGAATCATAATTGAATGAAGTGTAGCTTGGTAAATTTAAATCACATAAATTATCACTAAATGAAGTGTAAATTAAGCTGAAAGTAGGAAAATAGAGTTCCAACATTGCAGCGGCGATGCATCGACGACGCATCAGAATCTTAAGCATTCATAAGGATCATCGTGTAGTGTCCACGGCCTCAAAGACTCTCCTTAGACAAGGATGACGTGGGCAATATCTAGATCTTCTTGTGAAGTCTAGAGATCAGTGAAATGGGTCGTCGAACATTTCCAGTGACTATCCCCTGATGGAGTGGAAAAATGGCAACTTTGCGGCTCTCTGATGGTTGTCACCTAACGGAGAGAAGCTGGATGGAGGTGGGGCGCGTGTCAGGGAGCTTCATCCTCAAGTTCAGCCAGCAAGAGGAGGCTCTTCATCACATCCAATATGCTCTCAAGAGGTGGCGACTCATCTCTTGGTGGATCGTCATCTTCTCAATGATGGGTTGTTTGTAAATCAATTAGAGATGATTTACTCAATGGATTCGCGATCCTTTTATCACGAATTGTTCAATAATTTTAGTAACAATACTCCACGAATCGCGTTGACGAGATTTTCACCGATGATCTAACAATTCTAGCAGCTTAATCCTTCACTGATGATTTACAAGAAAGTCATGATAATTAGATAAAAAGACGAGTTTTGATTCTAAGAAGATTCAAACTAGTGCCGATTGCCCCCATTTGAAGCCTTCTAGGGGAAGGTGTGACACGGATTTAGTCCCACATTACTTGTGCACCAAAGTTGTGGGCGAATAAATACTAATATTACATTTATAAGCAATGAGTCTCTTTCTCCCACATATATGTCACTCTTTTCCCCATAGCCAACTTGCCACCGATGACGTAGAAGGGGAGTGGCACCTACATGCCCTCATTGGTCCTAGCCGCATGAGCCCTTACTCGCAGGTCCCCTTGACTACGCTCCTGATCCACTTTCAGGTCCAGTTGGCAAGCGAGTTCCCCCTTTTTTGCTATATTTTTCTTTTAATTTATGTTTCTTTATTTATCTAAAAAATAAGACTATAAATATCATATAAATTTACAAAAAATCACATAATTAGCTAAAAACTCACATTAATCAATTGAAGACTACTTTTTATAATTTTTAACACAAATATAAGTCTATTTATCATGAGATAAGACTAAAACTATATTATTTACTAATTATTAACTCATGATAATAAAGACTTATCAACCATTCATCAGTGTAACCCTGTGAGGGTATTCCATCATCATAAGTGGGGTGTAGTTCACCTCTCTGTGTTTGCGACTATAGGAGTGGGCTGTTCTCCTACGAGTTGTTGGGCCCAAGACTTGGCTTGGGCCTAGGTAGGCTGGGCCAACTTAGCTTGAGCCTAAGTAGCTTGAGTGTGAGTGGTTTGGACTGATGGGTCTAGGGCCTAGGAGGGCTGTGCTTGGGTGTGCTAGGCCAACTTGATCTAGGCTTGAGTGGCCTAGGCCAGTGGGTCCTAGGTCAGTGGGGCCTAGGCTGGTGAGGCCTAGGTTAGTGTGGTCTGGGCTGGTTTAGTCTAGGCTGGTGCATTCTAGACTAGTGCAGCCTTAGTTAGGGCAGCTTGGGCCTGCTTGGTCTGGGTCAGTGTGGCCTTGGCTTGGGCTGGTACTGCTTGGGCGTGCCCTGCCCTGGTTGTCACAATTTGGGCTTGTGCCTAGGTCCTTGTAGCCTTGGCCTTCGCATCCTTGGGTTGTGCAGCCTTGGCCAACACAGCCGTGGTCTGCACAACCTCGGCCAGCTGGGCTTGAGACAAAGCCGCCATGGCCAGGGTTGCATTAGTGTGACCTGCTCCGATTCAGCCTTAGTTTCCGCAACCTAGGGCAGCATGCTGTGAGCTGGCACAGTCTAGCCTCTAGTTGGCTGGGCTGCTATGACCACACCTTCTAATGTTGATGATGTCATTCACATTGCAGACGAGGAAACAGCACCCACAAAAAGTTGTGGCACCAAATCCATGTTGTTGATTTCAATTTCAACAAATAGATTTAACCCTCATTGGCGCCCTACGTGTCAACACTCACTAATGTAAGCACAAACACTATAATTGAGGAAATAGCATCAGTCGCTTGTGATGTTGACATGACTCAATCATTGTATAGTAAATCACGTAAATTTAAAATTTATAAAACTAAAAAATACAAATTTTTGAATATTTATAAGTATTTTTAAACAAATATATCAATTATAATTTAATAAAACTTTCAAAAATAGTGATAATTTTCCAAGTCAATCATAGGAATGTAATATAATATCTAGTAATTATTCAGAATTTGCCTCAAAGAATACTATTTTCTATAAATTTAATACTAGGAAATAAAAATAAAATATATTTAAAATTCACAAAAAAGGAAATAAGGGTACAGATGTTAGGATGACATCAGCACCCGGCGAACACGAACCAAGTAGAAAGAGAGTTCTATGCGGCGATTCTTACGTAATCAATTACAGATGATTTAATTGATCAAATTAAGATCTATAAAAGTTGGATGAATCATAATGAAATGAAGTATATCTTGGTAAATTTAAAATCAAAAAATTATCACTAAATGAAATGAAAATTAAGTTGAAAGCAAGAAAATAGAGTTCTGGCATCGCGGCGGTGATGCGTTGGTGATGCACTAGAATCCTGAGCATTCAAGAGGATAGTCATGTAGTATCCATGGCCTCGAATGCTCTCGTTGGACAAGGACAATGTGGACAATATCTAGATCTCCTTGTGAAGTCTAGAGATCAATGAAATGGGTCGTCGAATCATCTCCGGTGGCTATCACTAGGCGGAGCAGAAAAATGGCGACTTTGTGGCTCTCCAACGGCTATCACTCAATGGAGAAGAGTTGGATGGAGGTGGAGCGCATGTTAGGGAGCTTCATCCTCAGATCCACATAGCAAGAAGAGGCTCTTCATTGCATCTGGTACGCCCTCAAGAGGTGACGACTCATCTCCTAGCAGATTGTCCTCTTCCCAACGATGCCTTATTCGTCAATCAATCAGAGATGTCTTACTCGATAGATTTGCAATCCTTTTATCGTGAATCATTCAGTAATTTTAGTAACAATGCTCCGCAAATTACATTGACGAGATTTTCGTCGATGATCTAGTGATTTTGGTTGCTTAATCCTTCACCGGCAATCTACAAGAAAGTCACAATAATCAGATAAAAAATAATGAGTTTTGGCTCTGGGAGGATTCGAACTAGTGTCGGTCGCCTGCCCTTTCTAGGGAAGGTGATGTGGGTATAGTCCCACATCACTTGTGCGCCAAATTTTTGGGTGAATATATAGTAATATTACATTTCCAATCAAGTCCCTTTCTCGCACGTATATGACCACTCCTTGTCCCACAGTCGGCTAGCCACCGGTGACATGGAAGGGGAGTGGTGCACACGTGCCCCCATCGGTCCAAGCCACTCAAGCCCCTACTCATGGCTACTCCCGGATTGCACTTCCAACCTGCTTGTGAGCCTGGCTGGCCGGTGGGTTCCCCCATTTTGTAATATTTTTATTTTTATTTCTTTTTCTTCATTTATCACAAAAGTAAGATTGTAAAATCATATAAATTCGTATAAAATCACATAATTATTCAAAAATTCACATTAATCGACTAAAAACCACTTTTCACACTTTAACACAAATATAAGTCTATTTATCATGAGTTAAAGCGAAAACTATATTATTTACTAATTATTAACTCATGATAATGAAGACTTATCATATGCCTTTTCCTCTAGTAAATCTAGTCTGTTAATCTATAGATCAATAGTTTAAATTTTGAGGGAGTCTGAGATAGCACTGGCATCGCCTCGATCTCTAGGACCAAGATAGCAGCACCGGTTGTCGGTTTCGATTTTTTGACTGTTTCTTGGCCGAAAGCATGCCTCTTCTATTAGTTTCTCATCAGCCGAACATCAGTCCACCGATGAAAATGATGATTTACTCATCAACAAAGCATCAAAATAAAATGATCAACAAGGGAAAGCTGTAAATCAGGAAAATATGATTCTACTGATATAAGGATATTATATTTCAGCCAAGTAAATTAGTAGATATTACCCCAAGAATACAACATTCTGAAAAATACCTCTCGAGGGAGAAATTACGAAACCAAGAGCATCAATCAACCATTTTCCACTTTTGGTGGCTCGATGCTGATGGTTTCTGACCTTAAAAATTGAATGAAATAGGTTTCAGCAAAATCCTAGGTCACACGAGAGAGATCTCACTATTTGAATGCGATGTTGATGAGAGAGAAGCTCCTATGAGGAGAGAGAAAAAAGTTGAGTAAATAAAATTTCTTAGAGCATTGTTACTAAAATTTCTGAATGATTTGTGATAAAAAGATTCTGAATCCATCGAGTAAAGCATCTTCGATTGATTGACAAACAAGTCGTCGTTAAGAGGATGATCTGCTAAGAGATGAGTCACCACTTCTTGAGAGCATATCAGATGTGATGAAAAGCCTCTTCTTGCTATATAGACTTGATGATGAAGCTCCTTAAAACACACCCCACCTCCATTCAGATCCTCTCCGTCAGTGCTAGCTGTCAGAAAGCCGCAAAGTCACCATTTTTCCACTCTACTAAGTGATAGTCGCTAGAGATGATTTAACGACCTATTTCACTGATCTCTAGACTACACAAGAAGATCTAGAGATTGCTTATCTTTGTCCAAGGAGAGCCTTCAAAGCTGTGGATACTACATGATGGTCCTTTTGAATGCTTAAGATTTTGATACATTACTGATGCATCGCCGCGTGATACCGGAACTTTATTTTCCTACTTTCAACTTTATTTATGCTTCATTTAGTAATAATTTATGTGATTTAAATTTACCAAGCTGTACTTCATTCAATTACGATTCTTTTGACTTTTACAAATCTTAATTTGATCAATTAAATTGTCTATAATTACTTACGTAAGAATCGCTAGGTAGAACTCTATTTCCGTTCGATTCTCATTTGTCGAGTGTTGACATCATTTTGACATCCACACCCTTATTTCTTTTTTTTCATAAATTTTAAATATATTTTATTTTCATTTCATAGTGTAAAATTTATAAAAAAATTATATTCTTTGAGTAAAATTAGAAAAAATACTCGATATTATATTGCATCCCTATGATTGACTTGGAAAATTAACACTAATTTTAGAAGTTTTATTAAATTATAATTGATACATTTGTTTAAAAATATTTCTAAATATCTAAAAATTAGTATTTTCTAGTTTATAAATTTTATATTTTTGTGATTTATTATACAATGACTAAGTCACATCAGAATGCCTCCTAACCCTCAATTTAATTGTAATAGTATATGTCTTATGTATGATAAAAATACTCATTTTGATTTTCAATGCTATAATTTAGATCAATCATTTCACCTTATGTAAGAACAAGTACAAGTAGCCCACAATTTTAATAGATATAGGGAGCTTTTTTCTAATTCTTATAATTTTAATTAAAAGAATTCAGAATTTAAATCTAATTAGATAATATTCAAAATCTAAAAATACTTTGACCCAATTGAAATTTTGAATTTTGTCTAAAATAGGAAAATAGATTTTAAAAAAATCAGCCCTCTCAAGCCCAACCTAATGGTATGAAAATGGTGCATAAAATGAGCCAAATAATGTAACAAATTATGAATCAAATGACATTGTAGTAAAAGCAAATTATAGAGGCTCTTAAGAATAAGAGAGAAGAGCAATAACAACCTAGTTAACCTTTAAAAAATTGTCCAACAATAGGATTTCAACAAGGCAAGTCTAGTAACATGAATCTTGAAAAACTCCTACAAAATAAAAATGTTAGGTGACACGACTCAGTCATTGTATAGTAAATCACGTAAATTTAAAATTTATAAAACTAGAAAATATTAATTTTCAAATATTTAGAAATATTTATGAACAAATATATCAATTATAATTTAATAAAACTTTCAAAAATAGTAATAATTTTTCAGATCAATCATAGAGATGTAATATAATATCTGGTAACTATTTAGAATTTTCCTTAGAGAATACTATTTTATATAAATTTTATACTAGGAAATGAAAAGAAAATATATTTAAAATTCACAGAAAAAGAAAATAAGGGTGCGGACGTCAAGATGACATCAACATCTCATGAACATGAATCAGACGAATACAGGGTTCCACTTGACAATTCTGACGTAAGTAATTACAAATGATTTAATTGATCAAATTAAGATCTATAAAAGCCAAAAGAATCATAATAAAATGAAGTGTATCTTGGTAAATTTAAAATAAATAAATTATCACTTAATGAAATAGAAATTAAGTTGAAAGTAGGAAAATAGAGTTTTAGCATCGTGGTGATGATGCACTGGAATCTTGAGCATTCAAGAGGAATGTCGTGTAGTGTCTATAGCTTTGAAGGCTCTCCTTGAACAAGGACGACGTGGGCAATCTCTAGATCTCCTTGCGAAGTCTAAAGATCAATAAAATGAGTCATCGAATCGTCTCTGACAACTATCACCTGACAGAGTAGAAAAGTGGTGACTTTTCAACTCTCTGATTGCTGTCACCTAATGAAGAGGAGCGAGATGGAGGTGGGGCGCATATCAGGAAGCTTCATCCTCAGGTTCACACAACAAAAGAAGGCTTTTCATTGCATCCGTTATGCTTTTAAGAGGTGGCGACTCATCTCTCGACAGATCCTCCTCTTCCCAACGACGACTTATTTGTTGATTAATCAGAGATGCCTTACTCGATGGATTCGCGATCCTTTTATTATGAATTGTTCAACAATTTTAGTAGCAATACTCTACGAATCGCGTTGACGAAATTTTTGTCGATGATCCAATGATTTTAGTATCAATTTGATGCAAGACGGGGCGAGAACCCTTGTACTTGATCAATGAAACTCAAGATCTAGGATGGGTAGTCGGACCGATCCGATCAGAATGTATGGACCCTAGACTCTAGGTCTGACCACATAAACTAAGTACAAGCAGGCATACCAATACGCATGATCAACCTAGGACAACCTGGAGAAACACTCGACGATGGTAAGTGTGAGGACCTCTTGGTCCACGTCAAGACAGACGGCAGAATAGTCGTTGTGAAGTAGCCTAGGGCTGTAGCTCACAAACAGTGATGAATCTGGTGCAGCGTCAGAAGTCATGATTCGATAATTGTCCTATCGTATCTACGTTCTCTTGATGGTGGTGGAGATGAGTCGAGGAAACACTTTGAGAGATAATTAAACTTAAGAGAAAGGGGTACAAAGCTAACCTTCGGGCCTGCATAGCCTGGCAAGTTGTGATAGAGCAGAGATTCGATGAAGGCAGAGACGTCCAGTGAAGAGCGATGCTCAGCATCGACGGTTGGTCTTGGTCGAGAGTCGCGGAAGTCATCATTTTAGGGTGTGACACAGTCGGTGTGGGCGTGAGCCTATAGGTGGGCCAAAGGGCACGCTAGTGGGTGTGGGCCTGCTGGTGGGCCAAAGGGCATGCTAGCAGGCATGGGCCCGCTGGTGGGTGATAAGTCTTCATTATCATGAGTTAATAATTAGTAAATAATATAGTTTTAGCCTTAACTCATGATAAATAGACTTATATTTGTGTTAAAGCATGAAAAGTGGTTTTCAGTTGATTAACGTGAATTTTTGGGTAATTATGTGATTTTATACGATTTTTACAGTCTTAGTTTTGAGATAAATGAAGAACAAGAAATAAAAATAAAAATATTGCAAAATGAGGGAATCCGCCGGCCAGCCGGGCCCGCAAGCGAGTCGGAAGCGCAGTCGGGGAGTAGCCGCGAGCGGGGGCTCGAGCGGCTTGCTTGGATCGATAGGGGCACGTGTGCGCCAATCCCCTTCCACGTCACCGGTGGTCAGCCGGCTGTGGGGCAAGGAGTGGTCGCACACGCGAGAGGACTTTGCCTACAAAGCTAACTTTACTATATATTCGCCCGAATAATCCGCGCACAACCGATGTGGGACTAAATCCGCCTTGTAAGGCGCGGGCGACCGCCGCGGGTTTGAATCCTCCCAGAGTCAAAATTCATATATTTTTAACTGATTATCGCGACTTTCCTGCAGATCGCCGGTGAAGGATTAAGCAACCGGAATCGCTGGATCATCGGCGAAAATCTCGTCAACGCAATTCGCGGAGCATTGCTACTAAAATTTCTGAACGATTCGCGATAAAAGGACCGCAATCCATCGAGTAAATGATCTCCGATTGATCGACGAACAAGCCGTCGTCGGGAAGAGGACGATCCGCCGGGAGACCAGTCGCCACCTCCTGAGAGCGTACCAGATGCGATGAAGAGCCTCCTCTTGCTGCGCGGACCTGAGGATGAAGCTCCCTAACACGCGCCTCACCTCCATCCAGCCCCTCTCCGTAGGGTGACAGCCGCCGGAGAGCCGCAAAGTCGCCGTTTTTCCGCTCCGCCGGGTGACAGCTGCCGGAGACGATTCGACGACCCACTTCATTGGTCTCTAGACTTCGCGAGAAGATCTAGAGATTGCCCACGTCGTCTTTGTCCAAGGAGAGCCTTCGAGGCCGTGGACACTGCACGACGACCCTCCCGAACGCTCAGGATTCCGGTGCATCGCCGACGCGTCGCCGTCGCGACGCCGGAACTCTGTTTTCCTGCTTTATCTAGAGATTGCTCACGTCGTCTTTGTCTAAGGAGAGCCTTCGAGGCCGTGGACACTGCACGACGATCCTCCCGAATGCTCAGGATTCTGGTGCATCACCGACGCATCGCCGTCGCGACGCCGGAACTCTGTTTTCCTGCTTTCAATTTAATTTACGCTTCATTTAGTGATACTTTGTTGATTTTTATTTACCAAACTATACTTCGTTCAATTACGATTCTTCCGGCTTTTACAGATCTTAATTTGATTAATTGAGTCGTCTGTAATCGCCTACGTAAGAATCGCCGGGCGGAACTGTGTTTCCGCCTGATTCGCGTTCGCCGGGCGCTGACGTCATCCTGACGTCCGCACCCTTATTTCCTCTTTTTTTGTGAATTTTAAATATATTTCCTTTTTATTTCCTAGTATAAAATTCGTAAGAAAATCTTACTCATTGAGAAAAATTCTGAATAATTACCAGATATTATATTACATCCCTGTGATCGACCTGGAAAATTACCGCTATTTTTGGAATTTTTATTGAATTATAATTGATATATTTATTTAGAAATACTTCTAAATATCCGAAAATTCGTATTTTCTAGTTTTATAAATTTAATATTTGCGTGATTTAACATACAACGACTGAGTCACGTCAAATTTTGGCGCCGTTGCCGGGGATGTATTGCATAATATTTAGTATTTTTCTGTTTTTCTCTTAGAGTACACAAAAAAAACTTTACTCTTGTTTTATTTTCTTTTTGCCGATTTTTATTAGAAAAAGGGAACGAAAAGAAGCGCGGCAAGGACTGGAGCATCCTGAAGGAGGGTAACAGTTACTAACTTTTTCCCTCGAATTTATTGATTTTTATGCATGGTAGAAGATCCTTGCATCCAAGGCTAGAAAATCCTTTCATTATTTCATTCAAAAATAAAAATTCGAAAGAAAAATTAATTTTGATGGATCCTGAAGGAAGTACAGGTCAAACTGAGAACAATCCTATGGCCATGAAAAATCATTATATCCCTGATTCATTTCAAAGAGCATCTAATATTAGAGTCCCATTAGCACCCACTGTTAAATTCGAAATAAATCTAGGAATTTTTCAAATACTCCCTAATTTTCATGGATTGCCTTTAGAGGAACCTCATCAGCACTTAGAAAAATTTCATATGGTCTGTGATTTAGTTAATCTCCCTCAAGTTACACCAGAAATCATTAAGATGAAATTATTCCCTCATACACTTAGGGACAAAGCTAGTCATTGGCTATCCACATTGGATAGAGAATTAACTAGCTGGAAAGATATAGAACAGGCCTTTCTTCGAAAATTTTATCCCTTAGGAAAAACTCAAAATATGAGAAAACATATATGGAGTTTTTCTCAAAGACCAGGAGAAACTTTGCATGAGACATGGGAAAAATTCAAAGATTTACTTAGAAAGTGTCCTCATCATGCTATACCCAAGTGGCAGCTCAATAGAATTTTTTATGATGGATTATTAGAACAACATAGAAATATGGTTGATTCTATATGTGGAGGAGCTTTTATGGAGAAAACTCTTGATGAGATTTACAGTCTTTATGAGAATTTAAGTGAAAATTCTAGAGATCAAGCCTCTTTTGAATTATATGACAAGGAAATGAAGAGAGAAATTTATGAATTGCATCATGATGATGATTCTAAACTTAGAAATGAGGTTAATCAGATTAATCAAAGATTAGAAAAAATTGATTTACTTATTGATAATATTAGAAAGCCTTTTAACCCTCAACTTAATTCGAATAGTACATGTCCTATGTATGGTGAAAATGATTATTCTGAACTTCAATGTTATAATTTAGATCAATCATTTCACCCTATGCGAGAACAAGTGCAAGTAGCTCACGGTTTTAATAGAAATAGGGAAAATTTTTCAAATTCTTATAATCCTAATTGGAGGAATAATTTTTCATGGAGAGACCCAAATAATATTCAAAATCCAGAAGCACTTAGACCCAATTCAAACTCTGAATTTCGTCCAAAACAAGAAAATGGATTTCAGAAAAATCAGCCCTCTCAAACCCAACCTGATGCTATGGAAATGATGCAGCAAATGAGCCAAATGATGCAACAAACTATGAATCAAATGATGCAACAAATGATGCAGCACCAGAAACAAATTATAGAGGCTCTTGAGAATAAGAGAGAAGAGGGACAGCTACCTAGTCAGCCCATAGAAAATTCAGAAAACTGTCCAACAGTAAGATTTCAGCAAGAAGAGTCTAGCTGGATAAATTTAGAAAAAAACCCACGAAATGAAAATGTTAGGACAGTGAATATATTGAGTGAGAATATTTTACCTGAACCTTATTTCCAATTATTAGAAGAAATTGATGATCCATTAGAAGTAAATGAGAATATTAAGGCCAAAAATGTAGTAGCAGAAAGTTTGAATAAAATCATTTATTGCTCACAATTGATGAATGAATATAGTGAGGATGATGAGGAGAAAGAACCCTTAGATGAAGAAACAGCAACTGATCATAGAAAAATCATCCAAATTTTAGTAGAAGGGAGTAAGGACAGAAATGAAGAAAAATATATTTCAAGTGAGGAAAAATCAACTGATTTGGGAGATGTAGGAGATGAAATTAATGAATCTAATCATAATTTTGCAGCCATGGATGTTGATTGTGAGGATGATGATGTATATCATATACCAAAATTTAAAGATAGCTCTTGGGAAGATGAAGAATTTGATGAGTTGAGAAACGAAAAGCTAGAAAAAGAATTGATTGAACTAATGGGAACAAGCGAAAATAATAGATATGAATATAGAGATAATTTTGGAGGAGAAAATTTGAATTTTACTGAATTCATTAGATCTGAGATTAAAGAAGACAATCCTTCCATCTTTCAAAGCCCACAGCCCATTAGAATTATTTCTAAGCTTGAAATATTTCACTCCTCGCAAATTGAACAAATATGTATGGAAGATAAAATGGAGCAGGGGAAGATTATGCAGATAAAAGAAGACATTAAGAAATGGGTGAGTGGAAGAATTAGAGATACCAATTTAGATGAAAAAGTTCTAGATTGGGCAAGAGCTAATCTGAAAATTATATGGCCTGATCACATTTTATGGTTTATTAATAGAAAGTATTTATTAATGAATGAGAGCCTAACAAAACAAGATAGAAATAAGGAAAGATTCTTTTCAAAATGGAAATATTATTTTTGGGAAAATTTTGTTAATTTCCATTTTGTTTTGGCTGAAAGTATGTCAAGGTATATATATGAAGTATATGAATTTATGCTAAATCTGAAAAAGAATATCATAAAACTTACCTTGGGATACAAATATATTTTGATGGCCATAGATCAGCTTATATGATATAAGAGCTGTCCAGCTGGAGACATTAAATTCAGCGCTGCATGGGAGGCAACCCATGGTTTTTATTTCATTTTGTTTGATCTCTGTTTTTCTTAGAATTTCGCAGTACTTGTTTCTGTGTTTGTTTTTCTTTCGAAAAAGTGCAGGAGGAGGAGTGTAAGATGAAGTGGAAAATTAAAAACGAGGTTGAGGTGATGTCTTTCTGAGCTTCATCATTTATGAAAATATTTTTAATGCTTAACTTTGCAGATATGCATGCTTCACTTGAAAATTATATTTTCTGCATATTCTGTTTCGAGTTTTCTGTGTCATTGAGGACAATGTCATTTTTAAGTTGGGGGGTGAAGTATTCATTATTAATTTATGCTGTAGGACGATTAAGAACATGTGTTTGCATTTTATTCAACTTAGAACAGCAACTAAAAAAATAAAAATAAAATAAAATTCGGAAAAATTGCAACATCTATTTTCTGGTTTTCTGTCAGAAACAACAGACTGTCAAAAACAGCAGATGAAAAAACAACCCGAAATTTGAAATTCTAGAGACCCTTTTCTCACATTTCAATCCCGTAGACATATATTACTGAAATTCGAGAGACCTATAAAGAAGATAGTTTTGATTTATTTTTGACAAATTTATTGCTGCTAAAATAGAACTGAAAACAGAAAACAGAACTGTCAGAACTATCTAATTTACAAATTCCTTACATCATATTGCATGCATGAAAAATTAAATCAATTAGATTGATTGATACCAAAAGATACTAGGAAGATTATTATTGAATCAAAAGAATGATCTAGTAGCATGAAATGTTGGAATACTCCTTGGATACATGATAGATAACATGGATTTGATTTTACAGATTTTCACTTCATGATCTTGATGGATAATATTTACTTGATGTGAAAATTTGATTGATCATTTGAGTTTAATGGAGATTTTTGCACCCTGATCTATAGGACTTGTGAGGAGAAATCACTTATTTCAAAAAAAAAAAAAAGAAAAAAGAAAAAAAGAGAGAGCAATGTGAAAAATCTAGAAACGAAGAGTACACATGGAGGGTGTGAGACATCATTCTCATTGTCGAAAATCGTGCATAGAAAAACACTTGCTGAAAAATAAGTGGATAAAGTGAAAGCCCTGAAAATGAAGAGTACACATGGAGGGTGTGAGACATCATTCTTATTGTCGAAATTTGTCTACAGGAAAAGCTACTTATCCACTATATATATAAAAAAAAAAAAAGAAGGAAGAAATATAGTGCAAACTGCAAAAATCAAGTCATAGAAAAAGGGAAATGTAAGATCAATATTATTCTTGGATGAGTATTGATAATTGGAACATCTTGTAAATACATCTATGAGTGAAGAAGTGATAAAGATGTGAATAGAAGAAGTGAAGTCTAGATTGTTATTCCAAGGAGTGTTTAAACATTTAAGCGCTTGACATCATTCTTAAATACTTGATATAAGAATCCAAAGTGTTTAAAGGTGCATCATTTCTAATTGTATTTCTTTTCTGTATTGAAATATGATGTTTGAGATTTGTAAATTTTTATTTTCGTAATTCCATTGCTAAGAGACTAGCAATGATTTAAGTTGGGGGGTGTGATAAGTCTTCATTATCATGAGTTAATAATTAGTAAATAATATAGTTTTAGCCTTAACTCATGATAAATAGATTTATATTTGTGTTAAAGCATGAAAAGTGGTTTTCAGTTGATTAACGTGAATTTTTGGGTAATTATGTGATTTTATACGATTTTTACAGTCTTAGTTTTGAGATAAATGAAGAACAAGAAATAAAAATAAAAATATTGCAAAATGGGGGGATCCGCCGGCCAGCCGGGCCTGCAAGCGGGTCGGAAGCGCAGTCGGGGAGTAGCCACGAGCAAGGGCTCGAGCGGCTTGCTTGGATCGATAGGGGCACGTGTGCGCCACTCCCCTTCCACGTCACTGGTGGTCAGCCGGCCGTGGGGCAAGGAGTGGTCGTACACGCGAGAGGACTTTGCCTAGAAAGCTAACTTTACTATATATTCGCCCGAATAATCCGCGCACAACCAATGTGGGACTAAATCCACCTTGTAAGGCGCGGGCAACCGCCGCGGGTTCGAATCCTCCCAGAGTCAAAATTCATATATTTTTAACTGATTATCGCGACTTTCCTGCAGATCGCCGGTGAAGGATTAAGCAACCGGAATCGCTGGATCATCGGCGAAAATCTCGTCAACGCGATTCGCGGAGCATTGCTACTAAAATTTTTGAACGATTCGCGATAAAAGGATCGCAATCCATCGAGTAAATCATCTCCGATTGATCGACGAACAAGCCGTCGTCGGGAAGAGGACGATCCGCCGGGAGACCAGTCGCCACCTCCTGAGAGCGTACCAGATGCGATGAAGAGCCTCCTCTTGCTGCGCGGACCTGAGGATGAAGCTCCCTAACACGCGCCTCCCCTCCATCCAGCCCCTCTCCGTCGGGTGACAGCCGCCGGAGAGCCGCAAAGTCGCCGTTTTTCCGCTCCGCCGGGTGACAGCCGCCGGAGACGATTCGACGACCCACTTCATTGGTCTCTAGACTTCGCGAGAAGATCTAGAGATTGCCCACGTCGTCTTTGTCTAAGGAGAGCCTTCGAGGCCGTGGACACTACACGACGACCCTCCCGAACGCTCAGGATTCCGGTGCATTGCCGATGCGTCGCCGTCGCGACGCCGGAACTCTGTTTTCCTGCTTTATCTAGAGATTGCCCACGTCGTCTTTGTCCAAGGAGAGCCTTCGAGGCCGTGGACACTGCACGACGATCCTCCCGAACGCTCAGGATTCCGGTGTATCGCCAACGCATCGCCGTCGCGACGTCAGAACTCTGTTTTCCTGCTTTCAATTTAATTTACGCTTCATTTAGTGATACTTTGTTGATTTTAATTTACCAAACTATACTTCGTTCAATTACGATTCTTCCGGCTTTTACAGATCTTAATTTGATTAATTGAGTTGTCTGTAATCACCTACGTAAGAATCGCCGGGCGGAACTCTTATTTCCTTTTTTTCGTGAATTTTAAATATATTTCCTTTTTATTTCCTAGTATAAAATTCGTAAGAAAATCGTACTCATTGAGAAAAATTCTGAATAATTACCAGATATTATATTACATCCCTGTGATCGACCTGGAAAATTACTGCTATTTTTGGAATTTTTATTGAATTATAATTGATATATTTATTTAGAAATACTTCTAAATATCCGAAAATTCGTATTTTCTAGTTTTATAAATTTAATATTTGCATGATTTAACATACAACGACTGAGTCACGTCAGTGGGCCAAAGGGCACATTAGCGGGGGCATGCGGCAAGCTGCACGGCATGCCCTAGGGCACGTGGGCAGTGGTGCCAGGTGGGCGAGCGGGCCACAAGAGCTGGCACGCGGGGTGTGCATAGTGGCAGTGCTTCGGTGGGAAGGCCGAGCGTCTGCAGCGCTTCGGCAAGAAGGCCAAGCGTCAGTTGCACTTCAATGGGAATGTCAAGCGTCGGCGTTCAACAGGAAGGCCGAGCATCAGCAGTGCTTCGGCGGGAATGCCAAGCATCAGCGATGTGACGTGACTCAGTCATTGTATATTAAATCATGCAAATCTAAAATTTATAAACTAGAAAATACAAATTTTTAGATATTTAGAAGTATTTCTGAATAAATATATCAATTATAATTCCATAAAACTTTCAAAAATAGTAGTAATTTTCCAAGTCAATAATAGGGATATAATATAATATATGGTAATTATTCATAATTGTTCTCAATGAATACGATTTTCTATTAATTTTATACTAGGAAATAAAAAGGAAATATATTTAAAATTCACAAAAAAGGGAAATAAGGGTGCAGACATCAAGATGATGTCAGCACCTTGCAAATGCGAATTAGGTGAAAATAGAGTTTCACCTGATGATTCTTACGTAAGTGATTACATACAATTTAATTAATCAAATTAAGATATGTAAAAGCCGGAAGAATCGTAATAGAACAAAGTATATTTTAGTAAATTAAAATCACAAACACTATCATTAAATGAAGTGTAAAGTAAGTTGAAAGTAGGAAAATAGAGTTCCGGCATCGCAACGGCGATGCGTTAGTGATGCACCAGAATCCTGAGCGTTCAGGAGGATCGTCATGTAGTGTCCACGACCTCGAATGCTCTCCTTGGACAAATACAACGTGGGCAATTTCTAGATCTTCTCACGAAGTCTAGAGATTAATGAAATAGGTTGTCAAGTCATCTCCGATGGCTGTCACCCGGTGGAGTGGAAAAACGGCGACTTTGTAGCCCTCTAACAACTGTCACCCGATGGAGAAGAGTTGGATGGAGGTGGGGCGTGTGTCAAGGAGCTTCATCCTCAAGTCTGCGTAGCAAAAGGAGGCTCTTCATCGCATCTGGTACACTCTCAAGAGGTGGCGACTCGTCTCCCGGTGGATCGTCCTCTTCCTGACGACAGCTTGTTCGTCGATCAATCGAAGATGATTTACTTGATGGATTCACAATCTTTTTATTGCGAATCATTTAGCAATTTTAATAGCAATGCTCCCCGAATTGCGTTGTTGAGATTTTTGTTGATGATCTAGCGATTCTCGTTGCTTAATCCTTCACCGACAATCTCCAGGAAAGTCACGATAATCAGATAAAAATATATGAATTTTGACTCTAAGAGGATTCAAACCCGTGCTAGTTGTCTGCCCCTTCTAAGGAAGGTGTGACAGGGGTTTAGTCCCACATCAGTTATGTGCCGATGTTTCGGGTGAATATATAGTAATGCTACATTTATAAACAAAGTTCCTTCTCTCATGTGTACGACCACTCCTTGCCCCACAGCCGGCTGGCCACCGGTGACGTGGAAGGGGAGTGGCATACGTGTGTCCTGTCGGTCCCCAAGCCAAGCCGCTCGAGCCCTTGCTCGCAACTTACTCCCCGACTACGCTTCCGACCCGCTTGCGGGCCCGGCTGGCCGGTGGGTCCCCCCATTTTTGCAATATTTTTATTTTTATTTCTTTTTTTTCATTTATCTCAAAAGTAAGACTATAAAAATCATATAAAATCACATAATTACCCAAAAATTCACGTTAATCAATTAAAAACAAAAAATCATTCTTTAACATAAATATAAGTCTATTTATCATGAGTTAAGGCTAAAACTATATTATTTACTAATTATTAACTCATGATAATGAAGACTTATCAGCCCACTTGAGGCCCTCAAGCCCATAAGCCACAAAGGCTACAAAAGGGGCTTATTGGGCCTTTTAAAGAGAGACCCAATAAGCTCCCTTAAAAGGAGAAAGCGGAGGGACCTCTTATGGTGCTTAACTGGGCCTCAAATGAAGACCCAAATAAGCCCCAAAAGAGGCCCAAAAGGAAAGACACATAGGTCCCCCCCCCCCTAGGGCTGTAATTGGCCCTCAAAGAGAGACCTAAAAAAACCCCAAAGAAAGGGAGACACAAACAACAACACACACACATAGAATTGGGCCCGGTAACACACAAACATGAGGCCCAACAAGTCAACATGAAAATACCAAGAAAGATAAGGGTGAGCTCGAGCTCGTCAATTGTGGAGGTGGAATGTCGTCGTCCCGAAGGGCTAGGCCATGTAGCAAAAGCTAGGCTCCTTCGTCTTTGCACATCAATCGAGCTGAACTCAGATTGTCAATGTCTCCTGAGCTGATGGAGATGGGTCCTGCTTGCCATCACTCTAGTGATCTGCAAGAAAGTCATAATAACCAATTAAAAAAATATAAATTTTGACTCTTGGAGGATTCAAACCTGCGCCGATTGCCTACCCTTTCTTAGGGAAGGTGTGACGCGAGTTTAGTCCTACATCAGTTGTGCACCGATTTTTCAGGCAAATATATAGTAATGTTACATTTCAAAGCAAGTCCCTTTCTTGCACATGTACAACCACTCCTTGCCCCACAGCTAGTTAGCCACTAGTGACGTAAAAGGGAAGCGATAGAGGCTCTTCATCACATCAGGTACGCTCTTAGGAGGTGGTGACTCGTCTCTTGGTAGATCATCTTTTTCTAGACAATGGCTCATTCGTCAATCAATCAGAGATATTTTACTTGATAGATTCAATATCCCTTTATTGTGAATCATTTAGCAATTTTAGTAACAAGGCTCTATGAATTGTGTTGACGAGATTTTCACCGATGATCTAGTGATTCTGGTTGCTTAATCCTTCACCTATGATTTGCAAGAAAGTCACAATAATCAAATAAAAAATAATGAGTTTTGGCACTGGGAGGATTTAAACCTGGGCTGATTGCCTACCTTTTCTAGGGAAGGTGATGCGGTTATAGTCCTACATCACTTGTGTGCCGAATTTTCAGGTGAATATATAGTAATATTACATTTCCAATCAAGTCCCTTTCTTGTGCGTGTATGACCACTCCTTGTACCCATACTCGCAACTACTCCCTAACTGTGCTTCTGACCCACTTGCAGGCCTGACTAACTAGCGGGTCCCCCCATTTTGTTATATTTTTATTTATTTTTCTTTTTTTTCATTTTTGTCAAAAGTAAGATTATAAAAATCATATAAATTTGTATAAAATCACATAATTACCAAAAGTTCACATTAATCAATTGAAAAACCACTTTTCATACTTTAACATAAATATAAGTTTATTTATCATGATTTAAGACTAAAACTATATTATTTACTAATTATTAACTCATCATAATGAAAACTTATCACTTACCATCTTTCTAGATTGAGTGATACAAGAATAAATACAACACCTTTGCAAAATAAATTTCTAGATGAACAATTGAAGGCAGCTCAACATCAATCATAACCATAGTATGCACATATTGTTAATTTTCTAGTTTTTGGAAAATTTTCAAAATATTGGGATAAGAATAGAAAAATTATTTCTTTTCTAAGATTAAAAATTATTTTTTGTATAATCCTGATTTATAGTACTTGAGCAATGATCAAATTTTAAGGAGATATGTTCTTGAAGAAGAATATCATAGCATTCTTAACATGTGCTATTCATCTAACTATGGAGGACATTTTTATATATGAAAATAGCTATAAAATATTTTTAGTGTGGTTTTATTGGCCTACAATCATTAGAGATTCTATGGAATTTAGTAGAACATGTATTTCATGTCAATCTATAGGTAATATGAATATAAAAGATGAAATGTCCATGAGTAACATGTTAGTAGTTGAAATTTTTGATATATGAGATATAGACTTCATGGGTGCCCTCCCATCAACTGAAAAATATAAATATATTTTGCTTGCTATTGATTATGTGTCTAAGTGAGTGGATGTTATTCCTACTAGAACTAATGATTATAAAATTGTGATAAAATTAGTGTGAGAAAAAAGTTTTTCGAGATTTGAATGTCCTAGAGTGATTATTAGTGAGAATTTACCAAGTCGATCATAGGGATGTAATATAATATTGGGTAATTTTTCAAATTTTTCTTAAAAATTATAAGTTTTTATGAATTTTATACTCAAAAATAAAAATGAAATATATTTAAAATTCAAAAAAAAAGAAATAAGGGTGGAAACGTCAAGGTGACATCAGTGCTCGACGAATGTGAATCGAGCAGAAATAGAGTTCCACATGACAATTCTTATGTAAGCGATTACCAACCATTTAATTGATCAAATTAAGATTTGTAAAAGCAAGAATCATAGTTGAATGAAAAATAGCTTGATAAATTTAAATCACACAAATTATCATTAAATGAGGTGAAAATTAAGTTGAAAGTAAGAAATAGAGTTCTAGTATTATGTCAATGATGTGTCAATAATGTACTAGAATTTTGAGCATTTGGGAGGATTGTCATATAGTGTCCACGGCATTGAAGATTTTCTTTGGACAAGGACAACATAGGCAATCTCTAGATCTTCTTGCAAAGTTTAGAGATCAATGAAATGGGTCGTTGAATCATCTCCGATAGTTGTCACCTAGTAGAGCAGAAAAATAATAACTTTGTGGCTTTCTAGTGGTTGACACCTGATGGAGAAGAGCTAGATGGAGGTGGGGTGCATGTCAAGGAGTTTCATCCTCAAGTCTGTGCAACAAGAGGAGGCTCTTCATCACATTTGATATGCTCTCAAGAAATATCAACTCATCTATCAATGAATCATCTTCTTCTCTATGACAGCTTGTTAATCAATTAATTAAAAATCTTTTACTTGATAGATTCGTAATCCTTCTATTGCGAATCATTCAGTAATTTTAGCAACAATATTCTGTGAATTGTATCGACCAGATTTTTCGCTGATGATCCAATGATTTTAACAACTTAATCTTCTACCGATGATTTACAAGAAAGTCATGATTTAATTAGATAAAAATATGATTTTTTGGCTCTAGTAGGATTTGAACCAATGTAGGTTGCTTGGTTGCATGAGAGAGATTGAAATAAGTACTCTAATACTATTATAAAGTGACATCATTATAGTATATCTCTATTATGACTAAAAGGTATTTTAGGTATTAAAATCTTTGAGGCCATTCTAAATATTATAATTGACATCATTTTGGATGAATATATAGTAATATCACATTTCTAAGTAATAAGTCCCTTTCTTCCATGTATACGACTACTCTTTACCCTACAACTAGTTGGTCACCAATGACATGAAAGGGGAGTGGCAATTGATGTGACTCAATCATTGTATAGTAAATCACGTAAATTTAAATTTTATAAAACTAGAAAATACAATTTTTTGGGTATTTAGAAGTATTTTTAAAAAATATATATCAATTATAATTTAATAAAAATTCCAAAAATAGAAATAATTTTTCAAATCAATCACAAGGAAGTAATATAATATTTGGTAATTATTTAGAATTTTTCACAAAATATACTATTTTTTATATATTTTATACTAAGAAATGAAATGAAATATATTTAAAATTTATGAAATATGAAAATAAAGGTGAGGAGGTCAAAATGATGTTAGTGCCTGGCAAACATGAATTGGACAATACAGAATTCCACTCGGTGATTCTTATGTAAGTAACTATAGATGATTTAATTGATCAAATAATGATTTGTAAAAGCCAAAAGAATCGTAATGGAATGAAGTATATCTTAGTAAATTTAAAATCAACAAATTATCACTAAATGAAATAAAAATTAAGTTCAAAGTAAGAAAATAAAGTTCCGATGTCACGGCGGCGATGCATCGGTGATGCATCGAAATCCTAAGCATTTGGGAGGATCATCGTGCAATGTCTACGGCCTCAAAAATTCTCCTTGGACAAAGACAACATGGGTAATCTCTAGATCTCCTTGTGAAGTCTAGAAATCAATGAAATGGGTCATCAAATCATCTTCGGTGACTATCACCTGGTGGAGCAGAAAAATGGCAACTTTGTGGCTCTCTAGTGATTGTCACCCAACAAAGAGAAGTTAGATGGAGGTGGGGCACATGTCAAGGAGCTTCATCCTCAAGTCCACACATCAAGAGAAGGCTCTTCATTGCATCTGGTATGCTCTCAGAAGGTGGCGACTTGTCTCCTAGTGGATCGTCCTCTTCTTGACAATGGCTTGTTCCTTGATCAATTGGAGATGCTTTACTCGATGGATTCGTGATCCTTTTATCGTGAGTTGTTCAGCAATTTTAGTAACAATGCTCTGCCAATCGTGCTGACGAGATTTTTGTCAGTGATCCAACGATTTTGGTTGCTAAATCCTTCACCGACGATCTGTAGGAAAGTCACGACAATCAAATAAAAAATAATGAGTTTTGGCTCTTAGAGAATTCAAACCCATGCCAATTGCCCCACCCTTTTTAGGGAAGGTGTGACGTGGTTTAGTCCCACATCACTTGTGCGTTAAAGTTTCTGGTGAATATATAATAATATTACATTTCTAATCAAGTCCCTTTCTCACACATGTACAACCACCCCTTGCCCCATAGCCGGCTGGCCACTAGTGACGTGGAAGGGGAGTGGCACACATGTACCCCATCACTCCAAGACGCTCAAGCCCTTGCTCGCGGCTACTCCCTAATTGTGCTTCTAACCCACTTGCAGGCATGGCTGGCTGACGAGTGATAAGTCTTCATTATCATAAGTTAATAATTAGCAAATAATATAATTTTAGCCTTAAATCATGATAAATAGACTTATATTTGTGTTAAAGTGTGAAAAGTAGTTTCTAGTTGATTAACGTGAATTTTTGGGTAATTATGTGATTTTATACAATTTTTATAGTCTTACTTTTGAGATAAATGAGAAAAAAGAAATTAAAATAAAAATATAACAAAATGGGGAGGACTCGCCAGCTAGTCAGGCCCGCAAGCGGGTCAAAAGCGCAGTCAGGTAGGAGCCGTGAGCAGGGCTCGAGCAACTTGAACCGATGGGGGAACGTGTGTGCCACTCCTCTTCCATGTCACTAGTGGCCAGTCGGCTGTGGGGCAAAGAGTGGTCGTACATGCATGAGAGAGGGACTTGACTAGGACTCGAGGAAGAAGCCCTGGCTAACTCCGTGCCAGCAGCCGTGGTAAGACGGGGGGGGCAAGTGTTCTTCGGAATGACTGGGCGTAAAGGGGCTATCGGGGAATTTCCCATCTTAGTAGGAGCTTTCCGAAGAAATAGCTTAGTAGCGACTTTGGAACCGCATCTCTGACAACTGAGACTCGAGAGACGCGAACAGCCCATGAGACTGGAATACGTTTAACAAAGCTAGCCGCGTGCCTCGAACGAAGAGACCTCCCAAGACTTCAGACACCTAAAGGTTACTTATCGAAACACTTCAATAGAACAAGGGGAGAGATTTGAAACAAAGGGACAGGGATGACTAAGACGAGTTATGCTTAGATGGATCCGGGGATGGCTAAAACATCTTTAATCTGCTTGGGTAGGCTGGGAGGCCTCCTCAGTCCCTAAGGCTGAGCAAGATGCATCAACAGCTACATTTACCATGGTAGCAGGGTGCTTGTTTTCTTCAATCCGGGGTGGACCATGATCGACCTCCATTTGAAGCTACAAAGTCAGCATCCAAAAATGGTTTTGGCACACAACTGATGTGGGACTAAACTCGTGTCACCTTCCCCAGAAAGGGTGGGAAATTGGCGTGGGTTTTAATCCTCCTAGAGCCAAAACTCATATTTTTTTATCTAATTATCGTGACTTTCCTAAAATGTCAATGAAGGATTAAGCAACTAGAATCGCTAAATCAACGGCAAAAATCTTGTCAACGTGATTCGTAGAGCATTATTACTAAAATTGTTGAACAATTCATGATTAAAGGATCACAAATCCATCGAGTAAACCATCTCTAATTGATCGACAAAGAAGTCATCGTCGGAAAGAGGACGATCCATCAAGAAATGAGTTGTCACCTCCTGAGAGCGTACCAGATATGTTGAAGAGCCTCTTCTTGGTATGCGGACATGAGGATGAAGCTCCTTGACACGCGCCCCACCTCCATCTAGCTCATCTTCGTTAGGTGATAGCTACCACAAAGTCGTCAGTTTTCTACTCCGCCGGGCGATAGCCACTAGGGATGATTCAATGACCCATTTTATTGATCTCTAAACTTTCCAAGGAGATCTACAGATTGCCCACGTCATCTTTGTCAAAGGAGAGCCTTTAAGACTATGGACACGGCACGACTTCTGGTGCATTGCCGACACATCATCGACACATCGCCATCACGACGTCGGAACTCTAGTTTTTTGCTTTCAACTTAATTTTTATTTCATTTAGTGATAATTTGTTGATTTTAAATTTACCAGGTTATACTTCATTTCATTACGATTCTTCTGACTTTTATAGATCTTAATTTGATCAATTAAATCATTTGTAATCGCTTATGTAAGAATCACCAAGTGGAACTCTATTTCTGTCCAATTCGCGTTTGCCAGGAACTGACGTCATCTTGACATTCATACCCTTATTTCTCTTTTTTATGAATTTTAAATATATATATTTTTTATTTTTTAGTATAAAATTTATAGAAAATAATATTCTTTGAAGAAAATTTTGAATAATTACTAGATATTATTACATCCTTGTAATCGACTTGGAAAATTACCACTATTTTTGGAAGTTTTATTGAATTATACTTAATATATTTGTTTAGAATACTTCTAAATTTTCAAAAATTCATATTTTCTAGTTTTATAAATTGTCAATTTATGTGATTTACTATACAATGACTAAGTCACATCAAATTTTTGTGCCATTGCTGGGAATGTATTACATAATATTTAGTATTTTTTTATTTTTCTCTTAGAGTACACAAAAAAAATTAACTCTTATTTTATTTTCTTTTTTTATTGAATTATTCTTTTTAGAAAAAGAGAACAAAAAGAAGCAAGGCAAGGACTGGAGCATACTGAAGGAGGGTAACATTTACTAAACTTTTCCCTCAAAATTATTATTTTTTTATACATGGTAGAAGATCCTTACATCTAAGGCTAGAAAATCCTTTCATTATTTCATTCAAAACTAAAAATCCGAAAGAAAAATTAATTTTGATAGATCTTGAAGTATAAGTCCAATTGAGAGCAATCCTATGGCTATGAAAAATCATTATATCCCTGATTCATTTCAAAGAGCATCCAATATTAAAGTCCCATTAGCACCCACTGTTAAATTCAAAATAAATCCAGAAAATTTTCAAATGCTCCCTAATAAGTCTTCATTATCATGAGTTAATAATTAGTAAATAATATAGTTTTAGCCTCAACTCATGATAAATAGACTTATATTTGTGTTAAAAAATAATTTATGGTTTTTAGTTGATTAATGTAAATTTTTGGGTAATTATGTGATTTTATACAATTTTTACAATCTTACTTTTGAGATAAATGAAGAACAAGAAATAAAAATAAAAATATTATAAAATGGGGGACCCGCCGGCCAACCGAGCCCGCAAGCGGGTTGGAAGTGCAGTCGGGGAGTAGCTGCAAGCAGGGGCTCAAGCGGCTTAGATTGGACCAATAGGGGCACGTGTACACCACTCCCCTTCCACGTCACCGGTGGCCAATTTGCTGTGGGGCAACGAGTGGTCGTACATACGAGAGAAGAGACTTTGCTTATAAAGCTAACATTACTAGATATTTGTCTGAAAAGTTGGTGCACAACCGATGTGGGACTAAACCTGCATCACATTTCCTCACAGGCAGGTGATAAGTCTTCATTATCATGAGTTAATAATTAGTAAATAATATAGTTTTAGCCTTAACTCATGATAAATAGACTTATATTTGTGTTAAAGAATGATTTATGGTTTTCAATTGATTAACATGAATTTTTGGGTAATTATGTGATTTTATATGATTTTTACAGTCTTACTTTTGAGATAAATGAAGAACAAGAAATAAAAATAAAAATATCACAAAAATGGGGAGACCCACCGGCCAGCCGTGCCCGCAAGCAGGTCGGAAGCGCAGTTGGGGAGTAAGCCACGAGCAGGGGCTCGAGCGGCTTGGCTTGGGGACCGACAAGGCACGCGTACGCCACCCCCTTTCCACGTCACGGGTGGCTAGCCGGCTGTGGGGCAAGGAGTGGTCATATACGCGAGAGAAGGGACTTTGCTCAGAAAGTTAACAGTACTATATATTCGCTCGAAAAATCGGCGTACAACTGATGTGGGACTAAACCCCCGTCACACCTTCCTCAGAAGAGGCGGGCGACCGGCGCGGGTTCGAATCCTTCCAGAGTCAAAATTCATATACTTTTATTTGATTATCACGACTTTCCTGCAGATCGCCGGTGAAGGATTAAGCAACGAGAATCACTGGATCATCGGCGAAAATCTCATCAACGCAATTCGCAGAGCATTGCTACTTAAATTGCTGAACGATTCGCGATAAAAGGATCGTGAATCCATCGAGTAAATCATCTTCGATTGATCGACGAACAAGCCGTCGTCGGGAAGAAGACGATCCGCCGGGAGACCACTCGCAACCTTTTGAGAGCGTGCCAGATGCGATGAAGAGCCTCCTCTTGCTGCGTGGACCTGAGGATGAAGCTCCCTAACACACGCCCCACCTCCATCCAGCTTCTCTTCATCGGGTGATAGCCACCGGAGAGCCGCAAAGTCGCCGTTTTTCCGCTCCGCCAGGTGACACCCGCCGGAGATGATTCGACGACCCACTTCATTGATCTCTAGACTTTGCGAGAAGATCTAGAGATTGCCCACGTTGTCTTTGTCCAAAGAGAGCCTTCGAGGCCGTGGACACTACACGACGATCATCCCGAACGCTCAGGATTTTGATGCATCACCGACGCATCACCGTCGTGACGCCGGAACTCTGTTTTCCTACTTTCAATTTAATTTACGCTTCATTTAGTGATACTTTGTGTGATTTTAATTTACCAAACTATACTTCGTTCAATTATGATTCTTCCAATTTTTACAGATCTTAATTTGATTAATTAAGTCGTCTGTAATCTCTTACTGACGTGACTCAGTCATTGTATGTTAAATCACGCAAATATAAAATTTATAAAACTAGAAAATACGAATTTTTGGATATTTAGAAGTATTTCTAAATAAATATATCAATTATAATTCAATAAAAATTCCAAAAATAGCGGAAATTTTCCAGGTCGATCACAGGGACGTAATATAATATCTGGTAATTATTCAGAATTTTTCTCAATGAGTACGATTTTCTTAAAAATTTTATACAAGAAAATAAAAAGGAAATATATTTAAAATTCACGAAAAAAAAGAAATAAGGGTGCGGACGTCAGGATGACGTCAGCGCCAGGCGAATGCAAATCAGGCAGAAATAGAGTTCCGCCCGGTGATTCTTACGTAGGCGATTACAGACGACTCAATTAATCAAATTAAGATCTGTAAAAGCCGGAAGAATCGTAATTGAACGAAGTATAGTTTGGTAAATTAAAATCAACAAAGTATCACTAAATGAAGCGTAAATTAAATTGAAAGCAGGAAAACAGAGTTCCGGCATCGCGACGGCGATGCATCGGCGATGCACCGGAATCTTGAGCGTTCGGGAGGATCGTTGTGCAGTGTCCATGGCCTCGAAGGCTCTCCTTGGACAAAGACGACGTGGGCAATCTCTAGATCTTCTCGCAAAGTCTAGAGATCAATGAAGTGGGTCGTCGAATCGTCTCTGGCGGCTGTCACCCGGCAGAGCGGAAAAACGGCGACTTTGCGGCTCTCCAGCGGCTGTCACCCGATGGAGAGGAGCTGGATGGAGGTGGGGCGCGTGTTAGGGAGCTTCATCCTCAGGTCCGCGCAGCAAGAGGAGGCTCTTCATCGCATCTGGTACGCTCTCAGGAGGTGGCGACTGGTCTCCCGGCGGATCGTCCTCTTCCCGACGACGACTTGTTCGTCGATCAATCGGAGATGATTTACTCGATGGATTCGCGATCCTTTTATCGCGAATCGTTCAGCAATTTTAGTAGCAATGCTCCGCGAATCGCGTTGACGAGATTTTCGCCGATGATCCAGCGATTCTCGTTGCTTAATCCTTCACCGGCGATCTGCAGGAAAGTCGCGATAATCAGATAAAAATATATGGATTTTGACTCTGGGAGGATTCGAACCCGCGCCGGTCGCCCGCCTCTGAGGAAGGTGTGACGGGGGTTTAGTCCCACATCGGTTGTGCGCCGATTTTTCGGGCGAATATATAGTAATGTTAGATTTGTGAGCAAACTCCCTTCTCTCACATGTACGACCACTCCTTGCCCCACAGCCGGCTGGCCACCGGTGACGTGGAAGGGGAGTGGCGCACACGTGCCCCTATCGGTCCAAGCTAAGCCGCTCGAGCCCCTGCTCGCGGCTACTCCCCGACTGCGCTTCCGACCTGCTTGCGGGCCCGGCTGGCCGGCGGGTCCCCCCATTTTACAATATTTTTATTTTTATTTCTTGTTCTTCATTTATCTCAAAAGTAAGACTGTAAAAATCGTATAAAATCACATAATTACCCAAAAATTCACATTAATCAACTGAAAACCACTTTTCACACTTTAACACAAATATAAGTCTATTTATCATGAGTTAAGGCTAAAACTATATTATTTACTAATTATTAACTCATGATAATGAAGACTTATCACACCCCCCAACTTAAATCATTGCTAGTCCCTTAGCAATGGAATTACGAAAATAAAAATTTACAAATCTCAAACATCATATTTCAATACAGAAAAAAATAATAATTAGAAATGATGCACCATTAAACACTTTGGATTCTTATATCAAGTATTTAAGAATGATGCCAAGGACTTAAATGTTTAAACACTCCTTGGAATAACAATCTAGACTTCACTTCTTCTATTCACATTATTATCACTTCTTCACTCATAGATGTATTTACAAGATGTTCCAATTATCAATACTCATCCAAGAATAATATTGATCTTACATTTCCCTTTTTCTATGACTTGATTTTTGAAGTTTGCACTATATTTCTTCCTTTTTTTTTTTTTAAATAGTGGATAAGTAGCTTTTCTTGTAGACAAATTTCGACAATAAGAATGATGTCTCACACCCTCCATGTGTACTCTTCATTTTCAGGGCTTTCACTTTATCCACTTATTTTTCAGCAAGTGTTTTTCTATGCACGATTTTCGACAATGAGAATGATGTCTCACACCCTCCATGTGTACTCTTCGTTTCTAGATTTTTCACATTACTTTCTCTTTTTTTTTTTTTCGAAATAAGTGATTTCTCCTCACAAGTCCTATAGATCAGGGTGCAAAAATCTCCATTAAACTCAAATGATCAATCAAATTTTCACATCAAGTAAATACTATCCATCAAGATCATGAAGTGAAAATCTACAAAATCAAATCCATGTTATCTATCATGTATCCAAGGAGTATTCCAACATTTTATGCTACTAGATCATTCTTTTGACTCAATAATAATCTTCCTAGTATCTTTTGGTATCAATCAATCTAATTGATTTAATTTTTCATGCATGTAATATGATGTAAGGAATTTGTAAATTAGATAGTTCTAACAATTCCGTTTTCTGTTTTCAGTTCTATTTTTACCAGCAATAAATTTGTCAAAAATAAATCAAAGCTATCTTCTTTATAGCTGTAATTTCGAATTTCAGTAATATATATCCAGGGGATTGAAATGTGAGAAAAGGGTCTTCTAGAATTTCAAATTTCGGGCTGTTTTTTGTCTACTGTTTTTGATAGTCTGTTGTTTCTGACAGAAAACCAGAAAATAGATGTTACAATTTTTCCGAATTTTATTTTATTTTTATTTTTTTAGTTGCTGTTCTAAGTTGAATAAAATGCAAACACATGTTCTTAATCGTCCTACAGCATAAATTAATAATGAATACTTCACCCCCCAACTTAAAAATGACATTGTCCTCAATGACACAGAAAACTCGAAACAGAATATGCAGAAAATATAATTTTCAAGTGAAGCATGCATATCTGCAAAGTTAAGCATTAAAAATATTTTCATAAATGATGAAGCTCAGAAAGACATCACCTCAACCTCGTTTTTAATTTTCCACTTCATCTTATACTCCTGCACTTTTTCGACAGAAAAAAACAAATACAGAAACAAGTAGTGCGAAATTCTAAGAAAAACAGAGCTAAAAAAAAATCAAACAGAATGAAATAAAAACCATGGGTTGCCTCCCATGCAGCGCTGAATTTAATGTCTCCAGCTGGACTCCTTGGTCTTACTCTTGAATTTCTTTTAATAATAAAATTTCTTTTTCTACAAGGCGTTCATGTTCTATGTAATGTTTAAGCCGCTGTCCATTTACCTTAAAGTTATGATCACTTTTAGGATCTTTAATCATTACAGCCCCATGATCATATGTCTCTTCCACCACATAAGGCCCTTTCCATTTTGATTTTAATTTTCCTGGGAATAATTTCAGCCTAGAATCATATAACCACACTTTTTGTCCAACATCAAATTTTTTTCTACTAATGTATTTATCATGGAAAGTTTTAGTTTTTTCTTTATATATTCTATAATTTTCATAAGCTTCATTCCTCAACTCCTCTAATTCATGTAGCTGAAAAATTCTATGCCCACCAGCTGATTTCTCATCCATACATAAATTTTTTATAGCCCATAACGCTTTATGCTCTATTTCCACAAGAAGATGACATGGCTTTCCAAAAATGAGACGAAATGGGGACATACCTATGGGATTTTTATAAGCTGTTCTATAAGCCCATAATGCATCTTGTAATTTCGTGGGCCAATCTTTCCTATCTAGTCTAACTATTTTTCTCAAAATTCTCTGAATTTCCCTATTTGCTACTTCAGCTTGCCCATTTGTTTGGGGATGATATGGAGTGGCTACTTTGTGGTGTACTCCATTCTTTTTCAACAGTTCCCTGAAATGTTTATTTGTAAAATGTGTTCCTCCATCACTAATAATCACTCTAGGACATCCAAATCTCGAAAAAATATTTTCCTACACAAATTTCATCACGATTTTATGATCATTAGTTCTAGTAGGAATAGCTTCAACCCACTTTGACACATAATCAACAGCAAGCAAAATATATTCATATTTTTCAGCTGATGGGAAGGGACCCATGAAATCTATTCCCCATACATCAAAAATTTCGACTACTGACATGTTACTCATGGGCATTTCCTCTATTTTACTCATGTTACCTATAGATTGGCATGAAATACATGTTCTACTAAATTCTATAGAATCTCTAATGATTGTAGGCCAATAAAAACCACATTGGAAAAATTTTGCAGCTGTTTTTCGTCGAGAGAAATGTCCTCCATAGTTAGATGAATGGCACATGTTAATAATGCTATGATATTCTTCTTCAGGAACACATCTCCTTAAAATTTGATCATTGCCCAAGTAATATAAATCAAGATCATGCCAAAAATAATTTCTAATCTTAGAAAATAAATGATTTTTTCTGTTCTTATCCCATTGTTCTGGAGTTTTCCCAGAAACCAGAAAATTAACAATATGTGCATACCATGGTGATGGTTGATGTTGAGCTGCCATCAATTGTTCATCTGGAAATGCGTCTTGTAAAGGTGCTGCATTTATTCCTGTATCACTTAATCTAGAAAGATGGTCAGCAACAACATTCTCGAAACCATTTTTATCTTTTATTTCTAAGTCAAATTCTTGCAACAATAAAATCCATCTTAATAAACGTGGCTTTGCATCTTTCTTATTTAACAGATATTTTAATGCTGCATGATCAGTATAAATAATAATTTTAGCTCCCAAAATATATGATCTAAACCTTTCTAACGAAAATACTACAGCTAACAATTCTTTTTCAGTCGTGGTATAATTTAATTGAGCATCAGATATAGTTTTACTAGCATATGAAATTACTATGGGTTTTGACTCTTTTGTTTGTCCTAGAACGGCCCCCACTGCATAATTCGATGCATCACACATTATTTCAAAGGGAAGGGATCAATCAGGAGCTTGTAAAATGGGTGCCTCAGTAAGTAATCTTTTTATTTTGGAAAAAGACTCAAAACATTTCTCATCAAAATTAAAAGGCACATCTTTAGATAATAGCATGGTGAGAGGTTTGGAAATTTTCAAAAAATCTTGAATAAATTTTCTGTAATAACCTGCATGACCCAAGAAATATCTAATCTGTTTTATTGAATTCAGAGGTTTCATTTTAGATATAATATCAATTTTTGCTCTATCCACCTCTAAACCCTTTTCACTCACAATATGACCCAACACAACTCCCTCTTTAACCATAAAATGTGATTTCTCCCAACTCAAAACTAATTTTTTCTCTATGCATTTCTCAAGTACATGCTGTAAATGATTTAAGCATTCATCAAATGATTCACCAAAAACAGAAAAATCGTCCATAAAAATTTCTATGCATTTTCCAATCATATCAGAAAAAATAGATAGCATACATCTTTGAAATGTGGCTGGAGCATTACACAGACCAAAAGGCATGCATTTAAAAGCAAAAGAACCAAATGGACAAGTGAAAGTTGTTTTTTCTTGATCTAAAGGGTTTATTTAAATTTGATTATAACCAGAGTATTCATCCAGAAAACAAAAAAGTTTTTTTCCAGCTAATTTTTCTAGAATTTGATCAGTAAATGGTAGGGGAAAATGATCTTTTCTAGTAACTGAATTTAATTTTCTATAATCAATGCAAACTCTCCAACCGGTAGTTAGTCTTGTTTGTATTTCCTCCCCATTTTCGTTTTTTATAACCGTGATCCCTGATTTTTTTGGCACTACTTGTGTAGGACTAACCCATTTGCTATCTAAAATAGGGTAAATAATATCAGCAGCCAGCCACTTTAAAATTTCTTTTTTTACAATTTCCATCATGTTAGGATTTAATCTTCGTTATGGTTCCCTGCTAGTTCTAGCCCCCTCCTCTAAATATATACTATGCATGCATACTCTCATATCAATGCCCCTTAGATCGTCCATTTTCCAGCCCATAGCCTTCTTATTTTTTCGAAGTACATCTAATAATTCTTCTTCCTATTCATTACTCAAATCAGCTGCAATAATAATAGGAAATGAATTATTTTCCTCCACAAACATATATTTTAAACTAGAGGGAAGAGGTTTCAACTCTAAATTCAGATGATCTTCCTCTTTCTTTTCTTCTAAATTTATATTCTCTATTTCCTCTAATTCTTCTAGCACACAGTCATCAATAACATCTGGATCATCAAAATCATCTAGAAGATCGATGATATGACAATCATATACTTGGGATTTCTTAAGATCATTTGATACCTCAAAAATTTTAATTTCTACTGATTGATCTCCACATGAAATTTTCGCAATACCTGTGGGAAAATCAATATTCATCTTTGCTGTATGCAAAAATGGTCTCCCTAGGATGATTGGTGTATCATAAAACTGTCCATTAAAATCCATTTCCAGCACTACAAAATCAGCTGGAAATTTACACCCTTTAACTGTCACTATCACATTTTCTAAGATACCTTTAGGATGTTTTATGGATCTATCAGCAAATTGTAAGGTAACAGTAGAAGGTTTAAGATCAGAAATATTAAATTTATCACAAATACTTGCAGGTAATAAATTAATACTAGCACCGGTGTCAAGTAATGCATTCTGAAAAATGAATCCACCAATATCACACGAAATTAAAGGGGCACATGTATCTCTCAATTTAAATGGTAATTGATTTAATAATAATGCACTAGCATGCATAGATAATTTTTCTACTCTAGGTGCCCTTTTTGGTGTACACATTTCTTTCAAAACTCTAGCATATTCAGGAATATGTTCAATGGCAGTGAGTAAAGGAAGACTAATTTGCACATCTTGTAAAATTTTCTTTATTTCTTCATTGTGTTCCTTTTTCTTTCTTTGTCTAGGCTCCAGAGCTTTAGGAAATGGAATGGTTGTCCTCTCTTTCGAAATTTCTTTGGTAGAATCTATAAAATCCTCTTCTACTCCTATTTGATTTTGTTTTGGGTTGTCCACATTTTCTTTTTCTTCTAATGTTTGGGGATAAGGATCAGGTAAGATCTTACCACTCCTTAATGCATTCACTGTCCTAACATTTTCATTTTGTGGGTTTTTTCCTAGATTCATGCTACTAGACTCCCCATGCTGAAATCCTATTGTTGGGCGGTTCCCTGGATTTTCTATGGGCTGACTAGGTAGCTGTCCCTCTTCTCTCTTATTCCCAACGGCCTCTATAATTTGTTTCTGGTGCTGCATCATTTGATTCATAGTTTGTTGCATCATTTGATTCATAGTTTGTTGCATCATTTGGCTCATTTGCTGCATCATTTCCATAGCGTCAGGTTGGATTTGAGAGGGCTGATTTTTCTGAAATCTATTTTCTTGTTTTGGACGAAATTCAGAGTTTGAATTGGGTCTAAGTGCTTCTGGATTTTGAATATTATTTGGGTCTCTCCATGAAAAATTATTCCTCCAATTAGGATTATAAGAATTTGAAAATTTTTCCCTATTTCTATTAAAACCGTGAGCTACTTGCACTTGTTCTTGCATAGGGTGAAATGATTTATCTAAATTATAACATTGAAGTTCAGAATAATCATTTTCACCATACATAGGACATGTACTATTCGAATTAAGTTGAGGGTTAAAAGGCTTTCTAATATTATCAATAAGTAAATCATTTTTTTCTAATCTTTGATTAATCTGATTAACCTCATTTCTAAGTTTAGAATCATCATCATGATGCAATTCATAAATTCCTCTCTTCTTATCCCTGTCATATAATTCAAAAGAGGCTTGATCTCTAGAATTTTCACTTAAATTCTCATAAAGATTGTAAATCTCATCAAGAGTTTTCTCCATAAAAGCTCCTCCACATATAGAATCAATCATATTTCTATGTTGTTCTAATAATCCATCATAAAAAATTCTATTGAGCTGCCACTTGGGTATAGCATGATGAGGACACTTTCTAAGTAAATCTTTGAATTTTTTCCATGTCTCATGCAAAGTTTCTCCTGGTCTTTGAGAAAAACTCCATATATGTTTTCTCATATTTTGAGTTTTTCCTAAGGGATAAAATTTTCGAAGAAAGGCCTGTTCTATATCTTTCCAGCTAGTTAATTCTCTATCCAATGTGGATAGCCAATGACTAGCTTTGTCCCTAAGTGTATGAGGGAATAATTTCATCTTAATAATTTCCGGTGTAACTTGAGGGAAATTAACTAAATCACAAACCATATGAAATTTTTCTAAGTGCTGATGAGGTTCCTCTAAAGGCAATCCATGAAAATTAGGGAGCATTTGAAAAATTACTGGATTTATTTCGAATTTAACAGTGGGTGATAATGGGACTCTAATATTAGATGCTCTTTGAAATGAATCAGGGATATAATGATTTTTCATTGCCATAGGATTGTTCTTAGTTTGACCTGTACTTCCTTCAAGATCCATCAAAATTAATTTTTCTTTCAGATTTTTATTTTTGAATGAAATAATGAAAGGATTTTCTAGCCTTGGATATAATGATCTTCTACCATGCATAAAAATCAATAAATTCGAGGGAAAAAGTTAGTAACTGTTACCCTCCTTCAGGATGCTCCAGTCCTTGCCGTGCTTCTTTTCGTTCCCTCTTTTTAATAAAAATCGGTAAAAAGAAAATAAAACAAGAATAAAGTTTTTTTTTTTTTTTTGTGTACTCTAAGAGAAAAACAGAAAAATACTAAATATTATGCAATACATCCCCGGCAACGGCGCCAAAATTTGACGTGACTCAGTCGTTGTATGTTAAATCACGCAAATATAAAATTTATAAAACTAGAAAATACGAATTTTTGGATATTTAGAAGTATTTCTAAATAAATATATCAATTATAATTCAATAAAAATTCCAAAAATAGCGGTAATTTTCCAGGTCGATCACAGGGACGTAATATAATATCTGGTAATTATTCAGAATTTTTCTCAATGAGTACAATTTTCTTAAAAACTTTATACAAGAAAATAAAAAGGAAATATATTTAAAATTCACGAAAAAAAAGAAATAAGGGTGCGGACGTCAGGATGACGTCAGCGCCAGGCGAACGCGAATCAGGCGGAAACAGAGTTCCGCCCGGTGATTCTTACGAAGGCGATTATAGACGACTCAATTAATCAAATTAAGATCTGTAAAAGCCGGAAGAATCGTAATTGAACGAAGTATAGTTTGGTAAATTAAAATCAACAAAGTATCACTAAATGAAGCGTAAATTAAATTGAAAGTAGGGAAACAGAGTTCCGGCGTCGCGACGGCGATGCGTCGGCGATGCACCGAAATCCTGAGCGTTCGGGAGGATTGTCATGCAGTGTCCACGGCCTCGAAGGCTCTCCTTGGACAAAGACGACGTGGGCAATCTCTAGATCTTCTCGCGAAGTCTAGAGATCAATGAAGTGGGTCGTCGAATCGTCTCCGGCGGCTGTCACCCGGCGGAGCGGAAAAACGGCGACTTTGCGGCTCTCCGGCGGCATTCACCCGATGGAGAGGAGCTGGATGGAGGTGGGGCGCATGTTAGGGAGCTTCATCCTCAAGTCCACGCAGCAAGAGAAGGCTCTTCATCGCATCTGGTACGCTCTCAGGAGGTGGCGACTGGTCTCCCGGCGGATCGTCCTCTTCCCGACGACGGCTTGTTTGTCGATCAATCGGAGATGATTTACTCAATGGATTCGCGATCCTTTTGTCGCGAATCGTTCAGCAATTTTAGTAGCAATGCTCCGCGAATCGCGTTGACGAGATTTTCGCCGATGATCCAGCGATTCTTGTTGCTTAATCCTTCACCGGCGATCTGCAGGAAAGTTGCGATAATCAGATAAAAATATATGAATTTTGACTCTAGAAGGATTCGAACCCGCGCCAGTCGCCCCGCCTCTTCTGAGGAAGGTGTGGGTTTAGTCCCACATCGGTTGTACGCCGAGTTTTCGGGTGAATATATAATATTGTTAGATTTGTGAGCAAAGTCCCTTCTCTCGCGTGTACGACCACTCCTTGCCCCACAGCCGGCTGGCCACCGGTGACGTGGAAGGGGAGTGGTGTACGCGTGCTTGTCAGTCCCCAAGCCAAGCCGCTCGAGCCCCTACTTGCGACCTACTCCCCGACTGTGCTTCCGACCCGCTTGCGGGCACGGCGGGTCCCCCCATTTTTGCAATATTTTATTTTTATTTCTTGTGTTTCATTTATCTCAAAAGTAAGACTGTAAAAATCGTATAAAATCACATAATTACCCAAAAATTCACGTTAATCAATTGAAAACCAAAAACCATTCTTTAACACAAATATAAGTCTATTTATCATGAGTTAAGGCTAAAACTATATTATTTACTAATTATTAACTCATGATAATGAAGACTTATCACTTACGTAAGAATCACCGGGCGAAACTCTATTTCTACCTGATTCACGTTCGTCAGGCACTGACGTCATCTTGACGTCCGCACCCTTATTTCCTTTTTTTCGTGAATTTTAAATATATTTCCTTTTTATTTCCTAGTATAAAATTCGTAAGAAAATCGTATTCATTGAGAAAAATTCTGAATAATTACCAGATATTATATTACATCCTTGTGATCAACTTGGAAAATTACCACTATTTTTGGAATTTTTATTGAATTATAATTGATATATTTATTTAGAAATACTTCTAAATATCCAAAAATTCGTATTTTCTAGTTTTATAAATTTAATATTGGCGTGATTTAATATACAACGACGGAGTCACGTCAAATTTTGGCGCCGTTGTGAGGGATGTATTGCATAATATTTAGTATTTTTCTGTTTTTCTCTTAGAGTACACAAAAAAAAAAAAAAAACTTTACACTTATTTTGTTTTCTTTTTACTGATTTTTATTGAAAGATGAGAACGAAAAGAAGCACGGCAAGGACTGGAGCATCCTGAAGGAGGGTAATAGTTACTAACTTTTTCCCTCGAATTTATTGATTTTTATGCATGGTAGAAGATCCTTGCATCCAAGGCTAGAAAATCCTTTCATTATTTCATTCAAAAATAAAAATCCGAAAGAAAAATTAATTTTGATGGATCCTGAAGGAAGTACAGGTCAAACTAAGAACAATCCTATGGCAATGAAAAATCATTATATCCCTGATTCATTTCAAAGAGCATCTAATATTAGAGTCCCATTAGCACCCACTATTAAATTCGAAATAAATCTAGGAATTTTTCAAATGCTCCCTAATTTTCATGGATTGCCTTTAGAGGAACCTCATCAGCACTTAGAAAAATTTCATATGGTTTGTGATTTAGTTAATCTCCCTCAAGTTACACTGGAAATTATTAAGATGTAATTATTCCCTCATACACTTAGGGACAAAGCTAGTCATTGGCTATCCACATTAGATAGAGAATTAACTAGTTGGAAAGATATAGAACAGGCCTTTCTTCGAAAATTTTATCCCTTAGGAAAAACTCAAAATATGAGAAAACATATATGGAGTTTTTCTCAAAGACTAGGAGAAATTTTGCATGAGACATGGGAAAAATTCAAAGATTTACTTAGAAAGTGTCCTCATCATGCTATACCCAAGTGGCAACTCAATAGAATTTTTTATGATGAATTATTAGAACAACATAGAAATATGGTTGATTCTATATGTGGAGGAGTTTTTATGGAGAAAACTCCTGATGAGATTTACAGTCTTTATGAGAATTTAAGTGAAAATTCTAGAGATCAAGCCTCTTTTGAATTATATGATAGGGATAAGAAGAGAGGAATTTATGAATTGCATCATGATGATGATTCTAAACTTAGAAATGAGGTTAATCAGATTAATCAAAGATTAGAAAAAATTAATTTACTTATTGATAATATTAGAAAGCCTTTTAACCCTCAACTTAATTCGAATAGTACGTGTCCTATGTATGGTGAAAATGATTATTCTGAATTTCAATATTATAATTTAGATCAATCATTTCACCCTATGCGAGAACAAGTGCAAGTAGCTCACGGTTTTAATAGAAATAGGGAACATTTTTGAAATTCTTATAATCCTAATTAGAGGAATAATTTTTCATGGAGAGACCCAAATAATATTCAAAATCCAGAAGCACTTAGACCCAATTCAAACTCTGAATTTCGTCCAAAACAAGAAAATAAATTTCAGAAAAATCAGCCCTCTCAAACCCAACCTGACGCTATGGAAATGATGCAGTAAATGAGCCAAATGATGCAACAAACTATGAATCAAATGATGCTTCATCAGAAACAAATTATAGAGGCCCTTGGGAATAAGAGAGAAGAGGGACAGCTACCTAGTCAGCCCATAGAAAATTCAGAAAACTGTCCAACAGTAAGATTTCAGCAAGAAGGGTCTAGCTGGATAAATTTAGAAAAAAACCCACGAAATGAAAATGTTAGGACAGTGAATATATTGAGTGAGAATATTTTACCTGATCCTTATTTCCAATTATTTGAAGAAATTGATGATCCATTAGAAGTAAATGAGAATATTAAGGCCAAAAATATAGTAGCAGAAAATTTGAATAAAATCATTTATTGCTCACAATTGATGAATGAATATAGTGAGGATGATGAGGAGAAAGAACCCTTAGATGAAGAAACAGCAACTGATCATAGAAAAATCATCCAAATTTTAGTAGAAGGGAGTAAGGACAGAAATGAAGAAAAATATATTTCAAGTGAGGAAAAATCAACTGATTTGGGAGATGTAGGAGACGAAATTAATGAATCTAATCATAATTTTGCAGCCATGGATGTTGATTGTGAGGATGATGATGTATATCATATACCAAAATTAAAAGATAGCTCTTGGGAAGATGAAGAATTTGATGAGTTGAGAAACGAAAAGCTAGAAAAAGAATTGATTCAACTAATGGGAACAAGCGAAAATAATAGATGTGAATATAGAAATAATTTTGGAGGAGAAAATTTGAATTTTACTGAATTCATTAGATCTGAGATTAAAGAAGACAATCCTTCCATCCTTCAAAACCCACAGCCCATTAGAATTATTTCTAAGCTTGAAATATTTCACTCCTCCCAAATTGAACAAATATGTATGGAAGATAAAATGGAGCAGGGGAAGATTATGCAGATAAAAGAAGACATTAAGAAATGGGTGAGTGGAAGAATTAGAGATATCAATTTAGATGAAAAAATTCTAGATTGGGTAAGAGCTAATTTGAAAATTATATGGCCTGATCACATTTTATGTCTATTAATAGAAAGTATTTATTAATGAATGAGAGCCTTACAAAACAAGATAGAAATGAGGAAAGATTCTTTTCAAAATGGAAATATTATTTTTGAGAAAATTTTGTTAATTTCCATTTTGTTTTGGCTGAAAGTATGTCACGGTATATATATGAAGTATATGAATTTATGCTAAATCTGAAAAATAATATCATGAAACTTACCTTGGGATACAAATATATTTTGATGGCCATAGATCATCTTATATGATCTAAGAGTTGTCTAGCTGAAGACATTAAATTCAGCACTGTATGAGAGGCAACCCATGGTTTTTATTTCATTCTGTTTGATTTTTTTTTAAGCTCTGTTTTTCTTAGAATTTCGCAGTACTTGTTTCTGTATTTGTTTTTTTTCGAAGAAGTGCAGGAGGAGGTGTGTAAGATGAAGTGGAAAATTAAAAACGAGGTTGAGGTGATGTCTTTCTGAGCTTCATCATTTATGAAAATATTTTTAATGCTTAACTTAGCAGATATGCATGCTTCACTTGAAAATTATATTTTCTGCATATTCTGTTTCGAGTTTTCTGTGTCATTGAGGACAATGTCATTTTTAAGTTGGGGGGTGAAGTATTCATTATTAATTTATGCTGTAGGACGATTAAGAACATGTGTTTGCATTTTATTCAACTTAGAACAGCAACTAAAAAAAATAAAAATAAAAATAAAATTCGGAAAAATTGCAACATCTATTTTCTGGTTTTCTGTCAGAAACAACAGACTGTCAAAAACAGCAGACAAAAAAGCAGCCCGAAATTTGAAATTCTAGAAGACCCTTTTCTCACATTTCAATCCCCTAGACATATATTACTGAAATTCGAAATTACAGCTATAAAGAAGATAGTTTTGATTTATTTTTGACAAATTTATTGCTGCTAAAATAGAACTGAAAACAGAAAACAGAACTATCAGAACTATCTAATTTACAAATTCCTTACATCATATTGCATGCATGAAAAATTAAATCAATTAGATTGATTGATACCAAAAGATACTAGGAAGATTATTATTGAGTCAAAAGAATGATATAGTAGCATGAAATGTTGGAATACTCCTTGGATACATGATAGATAACATGGATTTGATTTTACAGATTTTCACTTCATGATCTTGATGGATAGTATTTACTTGATGTTAAAATTTGATTGATCATTGAGTTTAATAGAGATTTTTGCTCCTAGATCTATAGGACTTGTGAGGAGAAATCACTTATTTCGAAAAAAAAGAGGGAGCAATGTGAAAAATCTAGAAACAAAGAGTACACATAGAGGGTATGAGACATCATTCTCATTGTCGAAAATCGTGTATAGAAAAACACTTGCTGCAAAATAAGTGGATAAAGTGAAAGCCCTGAAAATGAAGAGTACACATGAAGGGTGTGAGACATCATTCTTATTGTCGAAATTTGTCTACATGAAAAGCTACTTATCCACTATATATATATAAAAAAAGAAGGAAGAAATATAGTGCAAACTTCAAAAATCAAGTCATGGAAGAAGGGAAATGTAGGATCAATATTATTATTGGATGATTATTAATAATTAGAACATCTTGTAAATATATCTATGAGTGAAGAAGTGATAAAGATGTGAATAGAAGAAGTAAAGTCTAGATTGTTACTAAAATTTATGAACGATTTGCAATAAAAGGATCGCGAATCCATTGAGTAAATCATCTTTGATTGATCGACGAACAAGCCGTCGTCAGGAAGAGGATGATCTGCTGGGAGATGAGCCACCATCTCCTAAGAGTGTACCAGATGCGATGAAGAGCCTCCTCTTGCTGTGCGGACCTAAGGATGAAGCTCCCTGACATGTGCACCACTTCTATTCAACTCCTCTCCGTTGGGTGACAGTTGTTGGAGAGCCACAAAGTTGTTGTTTTTCCGCTCCGCCGAGTAACAGCCGCCGGAGACGACTCGACGACCCATTTCATTAATCTCTAGACTTCACGAGAAGATCTAGATATTGCCCACATTGTCTTTGTCCAAGGAGAGCCTTCGAGGTCATAGACACTACACGACGATCCTCCCAAATGCTCAAGATTTCGGTACATTACCGATGCATCACCGTCACGACGCTAGAACTCTATTTTCCTACTTTCAATTTACTTTACACTTCATTTAGTGATAATTTTTGTGTTTTTAATTTACCAAAATATACTTTGTTCTATTACGATTCTTCTTGCTTTTACAGATCTTAATTTGATTAATTAAATCATCTGTAATTGCTTACGTAAGAATCATCAGGTGGAATTCTATTTTTGCCTGATTCGCATTCGTCGGGTGCTGACATCATCTTGATGTTCGCACCCTTATTTTCTTTTTTTATGAATTTTAAATATATTTCCTTTTCAATTCTTAATATAAAATTCATAGAAAATCGTATTCTTTGAGGAAAATTCTGAGTAATTACTAGATATTATATTACATCTTTGTGATCAACCTAGAAAATTATTGCTATTTTTAGAAGTTTTATTAAATTATTAATAATATATTTATTCATAAATACTTCTAAATATCTAAAAATTTGTATTTTCTAGTTTTATAGATTTTATATTTGTGTGATTTAATATACAATGACTGAGTCAACCAAAGCTACTTAACTACCTCAAAAGTGTAGCTATGGGGGACTAAGAAGTGGCAACAGGGCAAATAGATGAAACTAAACACAAGAATAAGAAGGAAGGATAATTCAAGAGAAGGAACAACTAGAGAATGACAAGGAACATAACTTATCAGCCCCAACTAGAGAATGACTTGGATCACAGAATTAGAAGAGAAGCAAATAAAATCCCCATGAGAGGTCCCCACCTTGGAGACCATGGTAGCTAGCCCCTAGTCCCTTAACTAATTCAGATGAAAGTTTATCTTCCTTAATGCTTTGTAGTCTTGCTAACTCATAAACTATTATTGTTAATCTTGGAGATAGAAAGCATAGGAAGGAGGTGTTAGGTCCCCAATAGTTGGGGAGTACCCAAAGTCATGAGAAGCAATCATGAGGAGATCATGGAGGTCGACTTGGGGTCCAAGGAGGAAGTAGGAGAGAAGGGGGAAAGTTTAGGCAAGAAAGTCCAAACAAACTGGTGTGAGGGTGAGTCTTTAAATACCTCTTGGAATAGAGAGGAAATAGTAAGGAATGGGATAAGTGGACCTAAATTGTCATATGCAGCAATTACCTACAGTCAACACTTAAGACCTCAATTTGTGGACTTAACGTCATAGAAGATGCCCTGTGTCCAAGACGGAGTCCAAACCATAGAGTTTTCGAGGGAGGTAAACCAGTTGGCTGCCCAATTTAGGGAGGCAATGATAAGTCTTCATTATCATGAGTTAATAATTAGTAAATAATATAGTTTTAGCCTTAACTCATGATAAATAGACTTATATTTGTGTTAAAGCATGAAAAGTGGTTTTCAGTTGATTAACGTGAATTTTTGGGTAATTATATGATTTTATACGATTTTTACAGTCTTAGTTTTGAGATAAACGAAGAACAAGAAATAAAAATAAAAATATTGCAAAATGGGGAGACCCGCCGGCCAGCCGGGCCCGCAAGCGGGTCGGAAGCGCAGTCGGGGAGTAGCCGCGAGCAGGGGCTCGAGCGGCTTGCTTGGATCGATAGGGGCACGTGTGCGCCACTCCCCTTCCACGTCACCGGTGGTCAGCCGGCTGTGGGGCAAGGAGTGGTCGTACACGCGAGAGGATTTTGCCCACAAAGCTAACTTTACTATATATTCGCCCAAATAATTCGCGCACAACCGATGTGGGACTAAACCCGCGTCACACCTTGTTCAGGGGCGGGCGACCGCCGCGGGTTCGAATCCTCCCAGAGTCAAAATTCATATATCTTTAACTGATTATCGCGACTTTCCTGCAGATCGCCAGTGAAGGATTAAGCAACCGGAATCGCTGGATCATCGGCGAAAATCTCGTCAACGCGATTCGCGGAGCATTGCTACTAAAATTTCTGAACGATTCGCGATAAAAGGATCGCAATCCATCGAGTAAATCATCTCCGATTGATCGACGAACAAGCCGCCGTCGGGAAGAGGACGATCCGCCGGGAGACCAGTCGCCACCTCCTGAGAGCGTACCAGATGCGATGAAGAGCCTCCTCTTGCTGCGCGGACCTGAGGATGAAGCTCCCTAACACGCGCCTCACCTCCATCCAGCCCCTCTCCGTCGGGTGACAGCCGCCGGAGAGCTGCAAAGTCGCTGTTTTTCCGCTCCGCCGGGTGACAGCCGCCGGAGACGATTCGACGACCCACTTCATTGGTCTCTAGACTTCGCGAGAAGATCTAGAGATTGCCCACGTCATCTTTGTCCAAGGAGAGCCTTCGAGGCCGTGGACACTGCACGACGACCCTCCCGAACGCTCAGGATTCCGGTGCATCACCGACGCGTCGCCGTCGCGACGCCGGAACTCTGTTTTCTTACTTTATCTAGAGATTGCCCACGTCGTCTTTGTCTGAGGAGAGCCTTCGAGGCCGTGGACACTGCACGACGACCCTCCCGAACGCTCAGGATTCCGGTGCATCGCCGACGCGTCGCCGTCGCGACGCCGGAACTCTGTTTTCCTGCTTTATCTAGAGATTGCCCACGTCGTCTTTGTCCAAGGAGAGCCTTCGAGGCTGTGGACACTGCACGACGATCCTCCCGAACGCTCAGGATTCCGGTGCATCGCTGACGCATCGCCGTCGCGACGCCGGAACTCTGTTTTCCTGCTTTCAATTTAATTTACGCTTCATTTAGTGATACTTTGTTGATTTTTATTTACCAAACTATACTTCGTTCAACTACGATTCTTCCGGCTTTTACAGATCTTAATTTGATTAATTGAGTCGTCTGTAATCGCCTACGTAAGAATCGCCGGGCGGAACTGTGTTTCCGCCTGATTCGCTCGCCGGGCGCTGACGTCATCCTGACGTCCGCACCCTTATTTCCTTTTTTTCGTGAATTTTAAATATATTTCCTTTTTATTTCCTAGTATAAAATTCGTAAGAAAATCGTACTCATTGAGAAAAATTCTGAATAGTTACCAGATATTATATTACATCCCTGTGATCGACCTGGAAAATTACCGCTATTTTTGGAATTTTTATTGAATTATAATTGATATATTTATTTTGAAATACTTCTAAATATCCGAAAATTCGTATTTTCTAGTTTTATAAATTTTATATTTGCGTGATTTAATATACAACGACTGAGTCACGTCAAATTTTGGCGCCGTTGCCGGGGATGTATTGCATAATATTTAGTATTTTTCTGTTTTTCTCTTAGAGTACACAAAAAAAAAAAACTTTACTCTTGTTTTATTTTCTTTTTGCCGATTTTTATTAGAAAAAGGGAACGAAAAGAAGCACGGGAAGGACTGGAGCATCCTGAAGGAGGGTAACAGTTACTAACTTTTTCCCTCGAATTTATTGATTTTTATGCATGGTAGAAGATCCTTGCATCCAAGGCTAGAAAATCCTTTTATTATTTCATTCAAAAATAAAAATCCGAAAGAAAAATTAATTTTGATGGATCCTGAAGGAAGTACAGGTCAAACTGAGAACAATCCTATGGCCATGAAAAATCATTATATCCCTGATTCATTTCAAAGAGCATCTAATATTAGAGTCCCATTAGCACCCACTATTAAATTCGAAATAAATCTAGGAATTTTTCAAATGCTCCCTAATTTTCATGGATTGCCTTTAGAGGAACCTCATCAGCACTTAGAAAAATTTCATATGGTCTGTGATTTAGTTAATCTCCCTCAAGTTACATCGGAAATTATTAAGATGAAATTATTCCCTCATACACTTAGGGACAAAGCTAGTCTTTGGCTATCCACATTAGATAGAGAATTAACTAGCTGGAAAGATATAGAACAGGCCTTTCTTCGAAAATTTTATCCCTTAGGAAAAACTCAAAATATGAGAAAACATATATGGAGTTTTTCTCAAAGACCAGGAGAAACTTTGCATGAGACATGAGAAAAATTCAAAGATTTACTTAGAAAGTGTCCTCATCATGCTATACCCAAGTGGCAACTCAATAGAATTTTTTATGATGGATTATTAGAACAACATAGAAATATGGTCGATTCTATATGTGGAGGAGCTTTTATGGAGAAAACTCCTGATGAGATTTACAGTCTTTATGAGAATTTAAGTGAAAATTCTAGAGATCAAGCCTCTTTTGAATTATATGACAAGAAAATGAAAAAGAGAAATTTATGAATTGCATCATGATGATAATTCTAAACTTAGAAATGAGGTTAATCAGATTAATCAAAGATTAGAAAAAATTGATTTACTTATTGATAATATTAGAAAGCCTTTTAACCCTCAACTTAATTCGAATAGTACATGTCCTATGTATGGTGAAAATGATTATTCTGAACTTCAATGTTATAATTTAGATCAATCATTTCACCCTATGCGAGAACAAGTGCAAGTAGCTCACGGTTTTAATAGAAATAGGGAAAATTTTTCAAATTCTTATAATCCTAATTGGAGGAATAATTTTTCATGGAGAGACCCAAATAATATTCAAAATCCAGAAGCACTTAGACCCAATTCAAACTCTGAATTTCGTCCAAAACAAGAAAATAGATTTCAGAAAAATCAGCCCTCTCAAACCCAACCTGATGCTATGGAAATGATGCAGCAAATGAGCCAAATGATGCAACAAACTATGAATCAAATGATGCAACAAATGATGCAGCACCAGAAACAAATTATAGAGGCTCTTGAGAATAAGAGAGAAGAGGGACAGCTACCTAGTCAGCCCATAGAAAATTCAGAAAACTGTCCAACAGTAAGATTTCAGCAAGAAGAGTCTAGCTGGATAAATTTAGAAAAAAACCCACGAAATGAAAATGTTAGGACAGTGAATATATTGAGTGAGAATATTTTACCTGAACCTTATTTCCAATTATTAGAAGAAATTGATGATCCATTAGAAGTAAATGAGAATATTAAGGCCAAAAATGTAGTAGCAGAAAATTTGAATAAAATCAGTTATTGCTCACAATTGATGAATGAATATAGTGAGGATGATGAGGAGAAAGAACCCTTAGATGAAGAAACAGCGACTGATCATAGAAAAATCATCCAAATTTCAGTAGAAGGGAGTAAGGACAGAAATGAAGAAAAATATATTTCAGGGGAGGAAAAATCAATTGATTTGGGAGATGTAGGAGACGAAATTAATGAATCTAATCATAATTTTGCAGCCATTGATGTTGATTGTGAGGATGATGATGTATATCATATACCAAAATTAAAAGATAGCTCTTGGGAAGATGAAGAATTTGATGAGTTGAGAAACGAAAAGCTAGAAAAAGAATTGATTCAACTAATGGGAACAAGCGAAAATAATAGATGTGAATATAGAGATAATTTTGGAGGAGAAAATTTGAATTTTACTGAATTCATTAGATCTGAGATTAAAGAAGACAATCCTTCCATCCTTCAAAACCCACAGCCCATTAGAATTATTTCTAAGCTTGAAATATTTCACTCCTCACAAATTGAACAAATATGTATGGAAGATAAAATGGAGCAGGGGAAGATTATGCAGATAAAAGAAGACATTAAGAAATGGGTGAGTGGAAGAATTAGAGATACCAATTTAGATGAAAAAATTTTAGATTGGGCAAGAGCTAATCTGAAAATTATATGGCCTGATCACATTTTATGGTTTATTAATAGAAAGTATTTATTAATGAATGAAAGCCTAACAAAACAAGATAGAAATAAGGAAAGATTCTTTTCAAAATGGAGATATTATTTTTGGGAAAAAATTGTTAATTTCCATTTTGTTTTGGCTGAAAGTATGTCAAGGTATATATATGAAGTATATGAATTTATGCTAAATCTGAAAAAGAATATCATAAAACTTACCTTGGGATACAAATATATTTTGATGGCCATAGATCATCTTATATGATATAAGAGCTGTGCAGCTGGAGACATTAAATTCAGCGCTGCATGAGAGGCAACCCATGGTTTTTATTTCATTCTGTTTGATTTTTTTTTAAGCTCTATTTTTCTTAGAATTTCTCAGTACTTGTTTCTGTATTTGTTTTTCTGTTGAAAAAGTGCAGGAGGAGTGTAAGATGAAGTGGAAAATTAAAAACGAGGTTGAGGTGATGTCTTTCTGAGCTTCATCATTTATGAAAATATTTTTAATGCTTAACTTTGCAGATATGCATGCTTCACTTGAAAATTATATTTTCTGCATATTCTATTTCGAGTTTTCTGTGTCATTGAGGACAATGTCATTTTTAAGTTGGGGGGTGAAGTATTCATTATTAATTTATGCTGTAGGACGATTAAGAACATGTGTTTGCAGTTTATTCAACTTAGAACAGCAACTAAAAAAATAAAAATAAAATAAAATTCGGAAAAATTGCAACATCTATTTTCTGGTTTTCTGTCAGAAACAACAGACTGTCAAAAACAGCAGACAAAAAACAGCCCGAAATTTAAAATTCTAGAAGACCCTTTTCTCACATTTCAATCCCTTAGACATATATTACTGAAATTCGAAATTACAGCTATAAAGAAGATAGTTTTGATTTATTTTTGACAAATTTATTGCTGCTAAAAATAGAACTGAAAATAGAAAACAGAACTGTCAGAACTATCTAATTTACAAATCTCTTACATCATATTGCATGAATGAAAAATTAAATCAATTAGATTGATTGATACCAAAAGATACTAGGAAGATTATTATTGAGTCAAAAGAATGATTTAGTAGCATGAAATGTTAGAATACTCCTTGGATACATGATAGATAACATGGATTTGATTTTACAGATTTTCACTTCATGATCTTGATGGATAATATTTACTTGATGTGAAAATTTGATTGATCATTTGAGTTTAATGGAGATTTTTGCACCCTAATCTATAGGACTTGTGAGGAGAAATCACTTATTTCAAAAAAAAAAAAAACAGAGAGCAATGTGAAAAATCTAAAAACGAAGAGTACACATGGAGGGTGTGAGACATCATTCTCATTGTCGAAAATCGTGCATAGAAAAACACTTGCTGAAAAATAAGTGGATAAAGTGAAAGCCCTGAAAATGAAGAGTACACATGGAGGGTGTGAGACATCATTCTTATTGTCGAAATTTGTCTACAGGAAAAGCTACTTATCCACTATATATATAAAAAAAAAAAAAAAAAAGAAGGAAGAAATATAGTGCAAACTTCAAAAATCAAGTCATAGAAAAAGGGAAATGTAAGATCAATATTATTCTTAGATGAGTATTGATAATTGGAACATCTTGTAAATACATCTATGAGTGAAGAAGTGATAAAGATGTGAATAGAAGAAGTGAAGTCTAGATTGTTATTCCAAGGAGTGTTTAAACATTTAAGTGCTTGACATCATTATTAAATACTTGATATAAGAATCCAAAGTGTTTAAAGGTGCATCATTTCTAATTGTATTTCTTTTCTGTATTGAAATATGATGTTTGAGATTTGTAAATTTTTATTTTCGTAATTCCATTGCTAAGGGACTAGCAATGATTTAAGTTGGGGGGTGTGATAAGTCTTCATTATCATGAGTTAATAATCAGTAAATAATATAGTTTTAGCCTTAACTCATGATAAATAGACTTATATTTGTGTTAAAGCATGAAAAGTGGTTTTCAGTTGATTAACGTGAATTTTTGGGTAATTATGTGATTTTATACGATTTTTACAGTCTTAGTTTTGAGATAAACGAAGAACAAGAAATAAAAATAAAAATATTGCAAAATGGGGAGATCCGCCGGCCAGCCGGGCCCGCAAGCGGGTCAGAAGCGCAGTCGGGGAGTAGCCGCGAGCATGGGCTCGAGCGGCTTGCTTGGATCGATAGGGGCACGTGTGCGCCACTCCCCTTCCACGTCACCGGTGGTCAGCCGGCTGTGGGGCAAGGAGTGGTCGCACACGCGAGAGGACTTTGCCTAGAAAGCTAACTTTACTATATATTTGCCCGAATAATCCGCGCACAACCGATGTGGGACTAAATCCACCTTGTTCAGGGGCGGGCGACCGCCGCGGGTTCGAATCCTCCCAGAGTCAAAATTCATATATTTTTAACTGACTATCGCGACTTTCTTGCAGATCGCCGGTGAAGGATTAAGCAACCGGAATCGCTGGATCATCGGCGAAAATCTCGTCAACGCGATTCGCGGAGCATTGCTACTAAAATTTCTGAACGATTCGCGATAAAAGGATCGCAATCCATCGAGTAAATCATCTCCGATTGATCGGCGAACAAGCCGTCGTCGGGAAGAGGACGATCCGCCGGGAGACCAGTCGCCACCTCCTGAGAGCGTACCAGATGCGATGAAGAGCCTCCTCTTGCTGCGTGGACCTGAGGATGAAGCTCCCTAACACGCGCCTCACCTCCATCCAGCCCCTCTCCGTCGGGTGACAGCCGCCGGAGAGCCGCAAAGTCGCCGTTTTTTCGCTCCGCCGGGTGACAGCCGCCGGAGACGATTCGACGACCCACTTCATTGGTCTCTAGACTTCGCGAGAAGATCTAGAGATTGCCCACGTCGTCTTTGTCCAAGGAGAGCCTTCGAGGCCGTGGACACTGCACGACGACCCTCCCGAATGCTCAGGATTTCGGTGCATCGCCGACGCGTCGCCGTCGCGACGCCGGAACTCTGTTTTCCTGCTTTATCTAGAGATTGCCCACGTCGTCTTTGTCCAAGGAGAGCCTTCGAGGCCGTGGACACTGCACGACGATCCTCCCGAACGCTCAGGATTCCGGTGCATCGCCGACGCATCGCCGTCGCGACGCCGGAACTCTGTTTTCCTGCTTTATCTAGAGATTGCCCACGTCGTCTTTATCCAAGGAGAGCCTTCGAGGCCGTGGACACTGCACGACGATCCTCCCGAACGCTCAGGATTCCGGTGCATCGCCGACGCATCGCCGTCGCGACGCCGGAACTCTGTTTTCCTGCTTTCAATTTAATTTACGCTTCATTTAGTGATACTTTGTTCATTTTTATTTACCAAACTATACTTTGTTCAACTACGATTCTTCCGGCTTTTACAGATCTTAATTTGATTAATTGAGTCGTCTGTAATCGCCTATAATCGCCGGGCGGAACTGTGTTTCCGCCTGATTCGCGTTCGCCGGGCGCTGACGTCATCCTGACGTCCGCACCCTTATTTCCTTTTTTTTTCGTGAATTTTAAATATATTTCCTTTTTATTTCCTAGTATAAAATTCGTAAGAAAATCGTACTCATTGAGAAAAATTCTGAATAATTACCAGATATTATATTACATCCTTGTGATCGACCTGGAAAATTACCGCTATTTTTGGAATTTTTATTGAATTATAATTGATATATTTATTTAGAAATACTTCTAAATATCCGAAAATTCGTATTTTCTAGTTTTATAAATTTTATATTTGCGTGATTTAACATACAACGACTGAGTCACGTCAACGACCCTCCCGAACGCTCAGGATTCCGGTGCATCGCCGACGCGTCGCCGTCGCGACGCCGGAACTCTGTTTTCCTGCTTTATCTAGAGATTGCCCACGTCGTCTTTGTCCAAGGAGAGCCTTCGAGGCCGTGGACACTGCACGACGACCCTCCCGAACGCTCAGGATTCCGGTGCATCGCTGAAGCGTCGCCGTCGCGATGCCGGAACTCTGTTTTCCTACTTTATCTAGAGATTGCCCACGTCGTCTTTGTCCAAGGAGAGCCTTCGAGGCCGTGGACACTGCACGACGATCCTCTCGAACGCTCAGGATTCCGGTGCATTGCCGACGCATCGCCGTCGCGATGCCGGAACTCTGTTTTCCTGCTTTCAATTTAATTTACGCTTCATTTAGTGATACTTTGTTGATTTTTATTTACCAAACTATACTTCGTTCAACTACGATTCTTCCGGCTTTTACAGATCTTAATTTAATTAATTGAGTCGTCTGTAATTGCCTACGTAAGAATCGCCGGGCGGAACTCTGTTTCCGCCTGATTCGCGTTCGCCGGGCGCTGACGTCATCCTGACGTCCGCACCCTTATTTCCTCTTTTTTTTTGTGAATTTTAAATATATTTCCTTTTTATTTCCTAGTATAAAATTCGTAAGAAAATCGTACTCATTGAGAAAAATTCTGAATAATTACCAGATATTATACTACATCCCTGTGATCGACCTGGAAAATTACCGCTATTTTTGGGATTTGTATTGAATTATAATTGATATATTTATTTTGAAATACTTTTAAATATCCGAAAATTCGTATTTTCTAGTTTTATAAATTTTATATTTGCGTGATTTAATATACAACGACTGAGTCACGTCAAGACTCCCAATCAATGACCAGATTTCTTCATCTTCTAGGATTGATATTTGATGATCTAGAAAGGGTTTCAAGCCTAAATTTTGTGGGCACGATCTTCAAGATGTCCTCTTCATATCTCTGTGTTTGGATTGACAAATCAGCTTCAAGAAGGCTATGAAAACAAAGGAGAGGAGCTAAAGGTATTTTGAGAAAAGGTTAATGGTATTTTGGGAAATTTAACTACTTATATGTATTCCTATCACCCTCTTTCCTTCTCATCTTTGTGGAAGGAGCCCTAACAATGGTTGGCCAGAGTGAAACAGCTTCTATTCTAAAGATCCATTCTTCTTCCCATTCTATGTAATCTTGAGTGATCAAGAGAGGCCTTAAGGGCAAAGTTGAGTGTTGGCGATCAAGTTGCAAGGACTAAAGTGCTAGAGATTAACTTGTCAGAGTAAACCGCCTGGCCCTTGGTGATAGGTAAAGGCCCAAGTTGAGCAATCTTCTTCCCTATACTTGTTTCCTTTCCTTCTCCCCTAGGGTGAAACCTAGGGTTTTAGATATATTTTAGTAATTACATTATTCCTTGTCAACCTCAATCATTCTTTCTCATTAAAATACTCTCAAAAAATCTTTTTATACCTCCCAGGTCAACCCTAATCTTGGGTTTCCTTCATTATATCCCATTTCACCCATATTTCTCATCTCCCATCTCTCTTTCTCTTGTCCATTTCTAACCTATTTCTTCTCATTACTTAGGATTTCTTAAGATCATTAGTTTTTCTCCTTGTGATTTGATCCCTATCTTACCCTCTCTACTTATTAGATTGATTAGGATAGTGGAAATATAAATAGTTTTAGATAACCTCACTTTAGGACCTACGACATCCCAAATATCAAGTTATAATGATGATGAGCGGACCCATCTCCATCAGCTTAGGAGACACTAGCAGTCCAAGCTCAGCTCGATCGATGCGTGAAGACGAAGGAGCCTAGCTTTCACTACACGGCCTAGCCCTTCGGGATGACAACATTCCACCTCTACGATGACGACAAGCTCGAGCTCACCCTTATCTTTCTTTGTAGTTTCACGTTGACTTGTTGGGCCTCACGTTTGTGTATTAGCGGGCCCAATTCTATGTGTATGTTGTTGTTTGTGTCTATCTTTCTTTAGGGTTTTATTAGGTCTCTCTTTGAGGCCCAATTAAAACCCTAAGGGGGGGGGGACCTATGTGTCTTTCCTTTTGGGCCTCTTTTGGGGCTTATTTGGGTCTTCATTTGAGGCCCACTTAAGCACCATAAGAGGGCCCTCCTCTTTCTCCTTTTAGGGGAGCTTATTGGGTCTCTCTTTTAGAGGCCCAATAAACCCTTTTTGTAGCCTTGGTGGCTTATGGGTTTGAGGGTCTCAAGTGGGCCCACCTCCCCTTAGCCCACTTGTGGGCCCCCATATAAGGGGAGGTAGGACTCCCCCTCAAAAGAGGACTGCATTTTGTGAGAAATTATTGTTTTGTGAGATACCCCTTTTGTGACCTAGGATAGGGAGGGAAGGAGGGGAAGGAAGGTCGTTGATACCCCGAGGACTTCGTTCATTGTGACACTACTGTCGAAGAAGCCCTGGACTACCTAAGACCACGGCCACTACTGGACATCCCCTTGGCGCCGTGAGATCGCTGCCATCACTGGACAAAATGGTCGCGGTTGCCACTGCAACTGCCACCGCCTCTGCTAGAACCCCGTCATGCCATCATGACGAAGGGGGCTCGCTTCACCTCCCTACGAGCCATCGTCGAGCACTCTGCTAGAGTCTCTCAACTCCTGGTTTGACTGCCACCTCTTCCTCCGGAACTCCACCATAAACTCGCCGAGGCCGCCCTCTGCTGCTCCACCCATTTGCTGGTGTTTGCCGATGAATGCCAACCTGCCGCCGACGTCGAGAGAGACTTTGCTGCCATGCCGATGAGCCAGATCCAGTCACAACTCCTCATAGGCCCCACATGAGTTTCCCGACGATTCCCCACTGCTGTCGCACCATTTTCAGCACTGTTGACACTCGGCCTTCCCACCAAAGTGCTGCCGATGCTCGGCATTCTTGTCAAAGTGCCGCCGATGCTCGGCATTCCTATCGAAGCGCCGCTGACACTCAGTGATAAGTCTTCATAATCATGATTTAATAATTAGTAAATAATATAGTTTTAGCCTTACCTCATGATAAATAGACTTATATTTGTGTTAAAGTGTGAAAAGTTGTTTTCAATTGATTAATGTGAATTTTTGGGTAATTATGTTATTTTACATGAATTTATATGATTTTTATAGTCTTGCTTTTGTGATAAATGAAGAAAAAGAAATAAAAAATAAAAATAAGACAAAATGAGGGGGACCCGCCGGCCAGCCAAGCCTGCAAGCAGGTCGGAAGCTCAGTCGGGGAGTAGCCACAAGTAGGGGCTCGAGCGGCTTGAATGGATAGGGGCATGTGTGCGCCACTCCCCTTCCACGTCACCAATGGCCAGCCGACTGTGGGGCAAGGAGTGGTCATACATGCGAGAGAAGGGACTTTGCTTAGAAATCTAACATTACTATATATTTGCCCGAGACATCGGCGCACAATCGATAGGGGACTAGACCCACATCAGTCACCTTTCCTAGAAAGGGCGGGCAACCGATGCAGTTTCAAATCCTCCCAAAGTCAAAGGCCATATATTTCTATCTAATTATTACTACTTTCCTATAGATCGCCGATGAAGAATTAAGCAACGAGAATCGCTGGATCATTGGCGAAAATCTCGTCAATGTGATTCGCAGAGCATTGCTACTAAAATTGTTGAACAATTTACGATAAAAAGATCGCGAATCCATCGAGTAAATCATCTCTGATTGATCAACAAACAAGTTGTTGTCGGGAAGAGGACGATCCACCAGGAGACGAGTCGCCACCTCTTGAGAGCATACCGGATGCGATGAAGAGCCTCCTCTTGCTGCACCAACTTGAGGATGAAGCTCCCTAACACACGCCCCACCTCCATCTAGCTCCTCTCCATCGGGTGACAGCTGCTAGAGAGCCGCAAAGTCGTCATTTTTCTGCCCATCGGGTGACAACTGTTGGAGACGATTCAACAACCCATTTGATT